TGTGGTTCAAAGAGGCCACGTCTGTGCCGCTCCCTTCAAAATGGCTCAAAGTCTGAACGCTACCTTCACATGCAGCAGGTACTCAAACGTGCTGAGCCAGGCGAGGGCTTGGGAAACGAGGAGAGTACGTAAAAGGTATCGTGCTGGGATCACAGCTATGAAAAACAGACGCAGGCTGCAGACGCGCTCTTCCTCGGTCTCACATTATTACATCATTCCTGTGGCTTAGTCACTGCCCAAGATGTCGAAGCCCAGTACATGAGGGTCCAGGAGGCTGTCCTGGTTCCACATTAATATTAAGAACTGCCTTGTTCAAAGTAGCATGAGAAGAAACTAAAATGTACCTGTCAACCTTTTCTTTTAAAATAATATCCACTTACTTTGGGTCTTGGCAAATGTATGGGTAAGTGCAGACACCGCGGCAATAGAGCTGGTACTGGCGGCGAGTTCCGAGGACCTCAAAGTTGAACGTCTGGTCGAAGTTCCCGAGATCGCTGGCAGAGAAGTGCATTCGCAATGTCACCTCGCCGTTGGCTGGCACTATCCACCGGAAATGATTCAGCCTGCAAATGACCACACAGGCTTTTAAAGTGAGAATGCTTCTCTTGCACCAAGAGAAGGCAGGACTGCTGCCTGGGAGGGGTCCCGTCCTGCTGGGGTTAGGCGTGGTGATCCGTAGGGCCCCACAGGCAGAACGGCCCGATTCCCAACTGGTGCAGTGACAGCTGCATCATCAACATGGGGCATGGGGCTTCCGCGTTTCTCTCCATGGGTTGCTCAGAGGCCCACCTGATGAACTTCTCCTGGGAGTGCTCTCCAGAGAAGTTGTTCTGCTCTATGTCTGACAGGGGGGCAATGGTCCCAGAAGTTCCTCCAGAAAGTCCCTTCCTGTTGAAGGCCATGCGACGTTTGTCCTTCTGAGCCTCACGGGTCTGATCTAATTTTTCTTTCACTTTCTGTTTGTTCCCCTTAGATGAGGCTGTCTGCTCCTCCTGGGCCTTAATTAAAAATGAGCACAGGGTCTTAATTACTCATCTTGCAGACACACAAACGAAAGACAGAGATGCTGCAGGTTTAGGATGCTGGCGGTGGCCTGGAGCAGAGTAGGGCTCAGCTTACCATATGAGAGTGGAAGACAAGAAGTGAAAAGAAGTATAGTGCTTTCCCTGGTACGCCATTCCCGAAAGACAGCTTGAAGCTGGCAGGGCGTGTGTTCCCACACTGCATTTTGCTATTGTGTTTCTTTAGTAGGTTTTAATCTAGACTTCTCACTCCCTCCCAATCCCATTGACTCTTTGGAGAGACTCTGTGTTCTTATAAAATATTCCACAGTCTGAAATTTTCAACCTGTTCCCAAAGTGTCATCTAGTTTATTCCTTTATTCCCTGTATTTTCTGTAAACTGAAAATTTGGCTTATAAGCTTAACTAGATGCAGAGAGGACGCTGTGTACATTACACTCTATCACAAGAGGAAGCAAATAATGTCATACTGACCCACGATTACAGACATAGTGTGTTCCAGTGGCTGGAGCGGTGCCTGCCAGATCTGGCCATAATAAAGTAGATGTCACCCTTTACAGCTGGCCGGTCACCTGTGGGATGATGCTCTAGCTCGCCTGAATGTCTTGTTCTTCCCAAACCACTGCGTTTTGTATCCATTGGCACTCTTAATCATTTTTTTTTTACTGGGGATAACAGAATAGTGCTTTTCTAATTCTTGCATTCTTTCTATAATTTTAGCTGTCATTCTTCTAAAATGAAGAGCTTTCCTTTGTCAATTGGAGATGAACTAGAGTTCCTCCTAAAATGGTTAAGTTAAAGAATGCTTAACTCTTTCCTGCTAATGGCCATTTTTCAGAAAAGAGGTTGATGTAATAGTCCCCTCTGATGTTGGCAGTTTTTCCCTCTTTATCTTTTTTATTTGGACTCTGCTCCAGTAAGGCCTGCCCACTGATGCTGACAACTGCAGATGCTGATTTCCTATTTATTTGTAAGTTGAAAGTTGAGGCGGTCTCTGTCACCTGCTTGAGCTATAGGGAGGGCCTGCAGGTAATTTTATCTGCTGCTAATTTTATTTATTCTTTGCTGATGGGCGTGGTTTGTAGGAGGCTGTGTGGAGAGATTCAAATTTTAGGCCACCATATGCTGCTGGGAATAAAAAGCCCCTCTATAATTATTAAGACACATACCTTTCGCACATTGGTTAAATCTATTTATCCTTTGTGATTTATTCTAGTAATTGTCTATATATTTTCTTTTACTTTACATAATTTCATTTTGATTGCTTATATTTTTAAATCAGCTGAGATTAATTTTACTGTATTGTGCCAGGCGAGGAGATAAAAGTGACCTTACCCCAAATCTCTGATCTTCTCATCATAATTTCTTCAATCTATCCTTTCTGCAGTGGCGTGTGTCCCCTTAAACTGTGTCTGCTGATTCTTGTATTCGTATACACTGTGTGAATTACTTAGCTTCACGAATACATTCTACCATCTTTTACAAAAGAGCTAGTTTTGTTTATTTTTTTCTTGCAGATGAGCTTCAGAGTAATCTGACAAGTTCCCTAAACCATCCCATGGAGACTGGAAAGGTTGGAAGATGAAAACCAGTCATTTTCAGTCTCCTCTTGGGAAGCTGGAAAGGTCAGACCCAGGGAGGGTGTAGCTCAGAGAGGCTCGCACGGGGTCCTCAGGCAGGGTCGCCAGCGAGTGGAGGGAAAACACCTCCGTGAGCTGACTCCCAGCACCACAACCAGTTTCTGGCCATGTGGAAGTCAACACTCTTCCTGCCCATCTGAAGTCCTGCCAAGGTCAGGGTGAACTGCTTCCTCTTTACCTTCATAGAGCCTATGGCTGACAGCTCTGCTTCTGATTCCACTTCTCTCTTCTCCTCCAGCAGAGAGAGCTCTTCGGAGGGTGGAATCACAAACACGAAGTGCTTCAGGATTTCCGTTGTGGCCAAAGGCAGCCGCTTCACAGGGTAGGTGATAATTGAGAATAAGGCAGGAGGCGGGATTGGAGGTCCAGAGGAACCCAGACCCAAGAGGTCTAGGATCTAAAGGAAAAGCCCATCGTTAACTTCCAGAGCAGAGGGCAGGCTGCCCCTAACTGTCCTCTAACCGCATGTGTCAGGGGAGGGGTTTGTGAAGGGCTCTGACACAGCTCTGCAGGTCTTTCCTGACCCCCCATGCCCCCAGACCAGGCTGAAGCTCTTGCTGTAGGCTACATGCTCCCTTTACCTCTCTTATCATAGCTTTTATCACTTTATTGTGACTGTTTTTGTCTCTGCAAATGGACTGTCAGCTCCATTGGGACAGGAACCAGGTCGACATAAAACATACAGTAGGCACTCGCTAAATCTCTGTTTAAAGACACCAGCTCTTAAGATTCTGATGTCTATAGTTGTTGCATCTATTTTCAGATTCTGTGTTAATTTTTCTTTTATCTTTGAAATATCTTCAAAGGTCAAATAAAGTTAGGATCGGAGCAGGTCAAGTACAGCAAAGAAAAAAAAAGCAAAGGTTCTGGGAATGGGGGAAAGGATGGGCCTGTAAAGAGAAGTCGAAAAGAAACTTGAGAGAGAATTGATTCCTATGGCATTCTCCCATTCTGCTCGCTGTTGTTTTATAGGAAAATTCTGTCCCTGGACAAAAGGCTATAATAACATCCCCTGCAAACAACGGCCAGAGGTGGCTTTGGGTTATGTAACACCTTTTGTTTTTAGGAACAATGAAAGGCTATCTAATAGTATCATTTCTGTGCCTGTGGGAAGCTTGTGGGAAAAAGATTTTAGAATCCTCGAGACTCTTGCTTCACTCCAAAGTACACCTGCCTTGTCAGCCCCGAGCACCAGTGTTGTCAGTATTAAAATCAGTCCTACACGTGGCTTTTTATGAGGTCAGATGGGGTAATTTAGATCTGTGGAACTTTCTATAGATTTCCACCAAGTAGAAAAGGTCCTTTTAGCCCTTATTGTCTTATCCGAAGTGGCATTAGGGATTAACGGAATTCAGGAGATATGACTTTTATGTGGAAACGCTTTTACCATGATTAACATGGTATCCGCTACCTGACTTGTTGCATCTCCATCCCGGAGTAGAGTCTGTACCTGATCCACCTTGGGAAGCCTGTCGCTCTCCAGGGCCTGCTTCCAGTTGACGCCTTCCAGGTCAGGAGCCTGAATGTTTATAAACGGCACACCGAGATCCTTCTTCCCTTCGTGGTCCTCCTCCTTGTCCCCCTCTCCTCCATCGCTCTGCTCCTCCATTGCCCGGAGCTTCTCCAGACGCTCCCTCTCGGCTTTCTCCCGCTCCAGGCGCTCCTTCTCCGCACGCTCCTTCTCCGCGCGCTCCTTCTCCGCGCGCTCCCTCTCCCGGTCCTTGCGGCCTCTGCGCCCGCCTGATGGAACCTGGCGCTGGTCGTCAGGCTCGTGCGGCAGGTCCTCGGTCCCAGTGTGAGGCAGCTGAACTCCCTGCTTCCGGTCCCAGTACGTGAGGATGTTCTGGATATCCTTCCACGTCAACTCGTAGGTCTTAAACTTCTGGGCCAAAGGCTTGTCAGTGTCCTTGGGGAGGTCCGCTTCACTGTCCTCTTGTTCCAGGACAGGAGGAAACCCAAAGTTGTTATCTATCAGTTGGTTCTTTTTCCTCCTGTTTAGTTCTTCCTTCTCAGCCATTTGCTGCTCCTTAACAGATACTTTTCTTTCTACTGCATCCATCTTGACCTCTAGTTTGGACAAAGCAGGAATCTAGAAGGCAAAACACATAAAATATGCTTAAAGAGAGAGCAAATCCAATTAAAATAAGAGCGAGAGGATGATTTGTTTTGTAAGAAGGCCTCACAGGATTCCAGGCACTTCTTATACACACTGAGGTTGTGCCTAAGAATCACCTTGGGGACCTTTATCGAAATAAATTCTCTGGTCCTTCCTTATTATAGATCTGGCTGGGGCCTGGCACTGTACGTTTGAAAAAGGTGCACAGTGACTATGATGTGCACTCCTGGTTGAGAGCTGCTGTTCGGCAGGATCAACAGGAAAAGATCACCAAAATGGTGTTGTCCCCGCTTTCAGGGGTTGTGAGAGGCCGGAGGGTTGCGGTCACTGTCTCTCGCTCATGCACTGGAACCAGTCTGCACCTTGCTGGGAGCCTGGCTTTAGCTTCACCCTCGGAACTCATCATGTTGAAAGAGCGGCCATGCACACCAGCCGGCTACACCCCTGGGCCATGACAGCCGCCCTGGGCGTTGCTCTGGCTGTTCTACCCCTCCCTGGCACAGTGGGCAGAGATGTGACCGCTAAGCTTGGCAGGCTGATACACTGTTGGTACTTGTCTGCCAGGACAAGCTTATGCCAAAAGGATAAGCTCTTGGTTGAGCACAGGGACCCGTTGACTTTGTAGCTCGTTAGAGGCAAATCTTTACAACTAGCCTATTTAGCAGTATCCAGGCGACTGCAGGGGACAGTGGGAAGAATTAAGCACTGTGGTCAGACATAACTGGGTGAGGCCCTGGAACTGCCACTTCATCTCTCTCAGCCTCAGATGGGGTTCATGTCTCTGCACCTCACTGGGTGGGCGGGATGCCAAAATGACAGGATTACATACAACATAAGCGCAACACGTAGCACACAATCCGTGTCCGACAGATGTCGGTCCCTTTCCTCCTACCTTCTGCCCTACCACAAAATCCAAATAGTAGTATTAGGTCAATTTTCTGGAGGGGAAATGTGCTTGATTGGTTGACTGGTTACAGTGGCTAATCCCTCTGTTTTTGCCTCTTGGTAAGGAGCGAGGGAGGGCTGCTACCTGCCGGTTCGCTGTTTGAGATTTCTTTGGGGGCAATTCCTCCTTTACTGGTCCTTGTTTTGGTTTCCTGATCTTCCTTTTTTGCTCATCCTCTTCCTTCTGCCGCTCAAGCTCCTGCTGTAGCCTCTTTTCATGCATCTCCTTTGCCAGTCTCTCCAGCTCCCTTCATGAAACCAGGCGGAGAAAACTGAGTTCAGGGGCCTCCTGCCTGAGCCCCTCCCTGCCTGGGACTGCCTGGTGGGGGGTCATGGGGCAGAGCTTTCTTGGGCATAAAAACAAAGAAGAAAAAACAAAGCTGGGTAACTAGGAGGGAAGGAAGGAATTAAAGGAGGGAAGGATGGATCACATCTTTACATGGTCTTTCACCAAAACGGATGAACTGAAATTCGCTAAGAGGAGTTCTTGATTAGGCCGATTTCTCTTCCAACCTTTCATAAGAGAGCAAGGCGAGGGGTGAAAATAAGCTTGATGTTAGCACTTTTAAAAAGCAGCTTTCAAAGATTGTTCTGGTATCGGTACAGATGAGGCCCAGCTTCCTACACTGTTACTTAATGCTCGGACAAGAAGAAATGGTGTTTTTAACAGCAGTCCCTACCACGGGTCGCTGGGAACCACAGCGTTGGATCTGAGAGCCACATTCCTTTCCTCCAATCTCTCTAGTTCCCTTCCTACTATGGATTCAGCTGTCCTTGCCCTGCTGCTAACAGCGGAGAGGGCACCAAGGCTGGGCACGAAGATAAACAAATGTGGAGGGGACAGCATTTCTGAAAATATAAAACCCATCTATTTTCATCTCCAGGAATCCCTGGCTGTTCTTGCTTGCTGTGGCTCTCACCCACTGAAGCTGACTCATCATTATTTCATTACTCTGTGTGTGTGTGTGTGTGTTTATGTGTGGGGGGGAGAAGGGAAGAAGGGAGAGAGATGGGGAGAGAGGCAGAGAGAGCGAGAGAGAGCGAGCGCGCGAGAGATCAGACCTGTAGTTTCTAAGCCTACCATAAGATGAATGCCTGGAAGCGGTGGCCTGGATGAAAAAGAAGAGAGATCCCTTAGGAGTCCCAAGCCAGGCTTTTCATACCTGTGGAGGACTGGGCATTTTTACAATGGACAAATTAGGAGAAGAGCTGAGGGTATTCTGCGGGGGCAGAGAGGACACAAAAGCTTTTTTGGAGTCAGTAGGAGGAGTCTGGAGGTAGAAGGAAAGGAGAGAAGGAGAAGGGATAAACTGTAGGCAATTTAACCCTTAGCTCCACCCACTCCAATGTCTGGGATCCTGGGGGGTGGGGGGACAGGAAATAGAAGCCCCCTCCCTGGCACATTTCTTGCCCAGGCATGTTTGAAAGTCTGAGGGCAGAAAGGACATATGTCCCACTGCCACCTGTATCTGAGAGTCTGAGATAGTGGCCCCGAGTCTCCTGGGCCCTAGATGATATGGTGGAGATCCAGTTTTCCCATGTGATCCCCAGCGATGGGGACAGAAGGTGGCTGAGAGTACTGGCTTGGGGATATTCCCGGGGTCTGTGGCGAACTGCCCAGGCTGTGGGTCGAGTGGGAGAAGCTGCCAGACTTCAGGGATGGACAACACCACCAAAGGCCAAGGCAGCAGCCAGGGGAGGAACAGAACTGGCTGAGTTCTGGGAGGCAACCACCATGCCCATGTCAAGACAGTGGACCCCGGGTCACAAGCTGTGGACACCGGAGCACAGAGGCTGATGAGCCACGACTAGGGGACAGCTGTCAGGGTTGGGGTGAGGGAGCCAGTGGAAGCCCCAGGATGGCACTGGGGCCCAAAGCTCCTCTCCTGATTACATTACATAGCCTGGTCCCAAATGCGACCCCTCACCCCCCGAGAGCGGGAAGGAGAGGAGAATGGGAATAATCCTCAAGACTGCAGCAAGCAGCACCCGGGGTACACAAGATGCTTTCCTGCTCTCAGCAGGCCATCCTCCTGGGGCCCCGGCGGCCTCTGGTGCCCCCTGAAGGATGCGCCCCATCTCCAGGACAGTCTGTGTGCCCAGGGGAATTGCTTCCGCTCAGGCTAGTCCTTGACTCTGACCTCCTCTTCCTCTCCCTGAGGGCCTGATGAACCTCTCGATTGAACAAGATTTTCTCCTCCTCTGTCAAGGCCTCGTATTCTTCCTCATCCATTTTTTGGAGACGCTCTTTCTCTTTCTCAAGTGCTTCCATGCGTTTCTGCTCTGTGCAGGGGACAGAGACAAGAAGGTGAGGAAAAGTCACTCATCAGCTCTGGTGCAGGTTCCGCCACGGCTCAGCTCGCACTCAGCCTGAACGGGCCGTGCGGGGTCTGTGACGGTGAGATGGAGCTGGTATGGCAGCAACGTCCCTAATCTCTGTGGGACTTCCTTCCTTCGCACAGTTCCACAAGATGGTCTCCCTCTGTGGGAGGCTGAATAGTGACCCCAAGTATGTCCATATCCTAATCCCCAGGACCTGTGATGTGTTACCTTACGTGGCAGAAAGAATGCTGCATATGTGATTAAGTTAAGGACCTTGAGCTGGAGAGATTTTCCTGGATTGTCTGAGTGCGCCCCGTGTAAGGACAAAGGGCCAGAGTCAGAGAAGTGATGTCAGAGAAGGTGAGGTCACGATGCAGCGGAGGCAGAGAAGAGGTGACAACAGAAGCAAAGGTCCGAGGGCCGTGAGGTGGGGACTATGAGCAGGCAGCCCCTGGAAAGTAGAAAAGGCAAGGAAAGGGCTTCTCCACCAGAGCCTCCAAAGGGACGCAGCCCGGCCGACACCTCGACTGTAGGACTCCGACCTCCAGAACTGAAAGATAACAACCCCGTGTTGTTGTAAGTCACCAAGTTCATCTTAATTTGTTACAGCAGTGATAAGAAAAGTAATGTACCACCCGCTGACTTTACCCAAAGAGCGTATGCCACCAAAGAGCTCAGAGTGATGGAACCATTTGCATACCAACGGGACCATCTTCTGCACCCTGCAAATTCCAGGTCCAGAAGCGGGTTCACACTCAGCACAGAGGCACTCAGCTTCTTTTTCACACTTTCCCGTGCAACAATCTCACCTTACATTCTTGGTCTAGCTTTGGGCTCAGAGATCTGCATTTGAGTCCATTCTTTGACTTTTACCAAGAGGTAGAAACAGATAAGAATAATAATCATTCCCCCTTCATAGGGTTGTTGTGGGGATCAAATAAGCAGTCATGTAAAGCACCTAGCCCAGTGCCTGGCACATTCAGAAATGTTCAATAAAAATTAGTTTTTAATATTATAATGTTACTGTATGCTGTCTCGGGGCTTTTTAGAATGCAGATGATTTCGGGGAGAGGAGCCTATATGCAATTGTGAAAAACTTCAATCCACAGATAGTTGAGAAAATGAAAAAAGATACTTTCTTTCAAGTTGATCATTACGGGGTAGTGAGCTTTCTGGAAAACTAGGAACTTGGAGGCTGAAATACTGCTGGAGGATGCCTGCTCATTCATCTTAATTACTTTTCTCTGAATGAGAATATAAGGAAGCAGTCTTTGAGTTCTGTGTAAGAACTAAGACAGCTAGGTGTCTGTAAATATTTCCTTTGATTTGTGTAGACTATTCCAGAAGAGAGAGGTAAGGCTGAGTGGGAAGGGCAGCGATGTGGACGGAACGGAGGAGGGGGCAGGACTCTGCCTCCCAGGGACAGTGTCGCCTCCTTCCTTGGGGGTCAGAATTTCCTAGGTCTGCTTCTGACTAAATTGGAAACTTGTTGCATTAACATTTTCCCTCTCCTTCCCTTTCTCTCTCTCTCTCACTCTCTCTCTCTGACTGCATATATATCCATTTTCAATCAGTGAAAATTTTCCAGGCCACTGGTGTAATAACAGAAGCAGCAAAGGCTTTAGTGTTATACAGACCTTAGTGATCTGCTACGTCATCTTACACAAGACTTTTGATATCTCTGAGCCTCCTTTTCCCCATCTGTAAGATGGAGATAACATGCCATTTAAAGACATCTAAGTGCACAAAAGGTCTGCTGCAGTGCCTGTTACGCGCTAGGCTAAAATGCAGAAGTTGTTTCGTAAAGTTTAGCAGCACTCCTCTATCTAGTTTCACAGGAGACAAAACCAACCAGCTAATCCGTCACCTGAGTCAAGATGGGACCTGTTCCCCAGGTGAGTTGTAAGTACAGAGAAGCTGACTATGAAGACTTGGGGGGGAGGGGAGCGCGTCCACTGTCAGAAGGGCTGAGTTCATCCGTCAGTCCATAATCTCTCAACAGTTCCCTCCTGTCTCAGTTCCCTTTCGTGCAGAGCAGAAATGAGAACTCCCAGCCACCTCACGGGGCAGAGGTGGGGCGCAGATGCGGTGGCAGGTATAATAGTTTCATTTAAGCCCAGTGGGTTATCACATCAGGGAAGCTTTTAAACAAGCCTAAAGCTCTGTTTAAAGGAAAGACCTGGTCGGGCCTACGGAGGACAGCCCAGGGGGTGTGGGCCTTGCCTTCTTGCTCCTTTTTGGCTTTCTCCTGGGCCTTCATGGCTGCGTAATCCTGGACCATGGTGAGAACATAGATGTACTCCCGGTTGCCGATCGCCTTCAGCAGGCAGAGGAGAGCGATAGCTGCGTTTCGAGCAAAGAGTGTCTCCAGGCCATCAAACACCACTCCTCGGCAGCAGTCACTCAGCTGGAACCAGAGAGAGCAGACAGTCACCATGGCCACCAGACCATCTGTGCTCTGTAAAGTTGCTAGTTCTTTCGTTGGTGCATTTACTAGGGCTGCAATTGGTTCTGCAGACCTACAAGACCCTGACGAGAACACAACTGAACTGCCTGCCAAATTCAAGGTGCTGCTATGAAATAAAGAGAAAAATAAAAATATTTTATCAGTCACGGAAGATCTTTATCATCCGTATTTGTAGAAAAATGGATTTATTCCGTCTCTATAGAAATGAAGAAAACAAACTAAACGTTAAAGTGAGGGTCTGGGAAGCCCCGTGAGATTCAGGGAAGAGAGATGCAAAGGAGAGACGTCCCCATGCGCGGAGCACTGGGCGGCAAGGTCAGCACAGCGGCTGGGCCGGGGCCGTTTCTGTCTTTCTTATCGGGATTACTGCCTTGGAGGGAAATGATTTTGATACCATTAACCACTGAGGGGCAGCAGCTGCTGCACTGCACTGCTACTCAAAGTGTAGTAGGCCGACCGGTCAGCACTGGCCAGGAACCGATTACTACTGGTGTCTGATGACACAAGAACCTTGCGTCAGAATGTAAATCGACTACATCACGAAACACACTATTTAGTTCAGCTGCCATTTTTCTTTGCAGCAAGACTTTGTTGATGAAGGAAGCAGTGCAAGCTCCAAATCTCATCAAAGACCAACCCTTTGAGCGGCACGGCTCTGCTGCCTGACTTTGGGCTTCACCAGCGATTCTCAGCCTTTACTCTGGGTGCATGAACCACCTGCGTACTTACTAGACCACCTTGCTCAAAGCAGTCGAGAAGGATAGTACCTGTAACACAGTGGCATTCTAAATCTTAACATGCGTCATTTCCGGTGATGATGACATTCCAAAGACCAACCCTTTGAGCGGCACGGCTCTGCTGCCTGACTTTGGGCTTCACCAGCGATTCTCAGCCTTTACTCTGGGTGCATGAACCACCTGCGTACTTACTAGACCACCTTGCTCAAAGCAGTCGAGAAGGATAGTACCTGTAACACAGTGGCATTCTAAATCTTAACATGCGTCATTTCCGGTGATGACATTTCTCTTCCGGGAACCTCAAGTCTAATTTTGTTTTATGTCAATGGGCAATTAATATTGTGGCCCAGTCTGCAAAACCAAAGCGAACCCAGAGCTCTGGGAGCTGGTGAGCACTTTAGCGCTCTGTAAATGGTAAGCAGCCAACAGGCCTAAGTGGGGCCCTCCCAAATCTTCTGATCTTGTTTTCTTCTCTTCAACTACATCACACTTACAAAAATGATAATAATAAAAAAGGAAATGATTATTGTGTTTCTGACTTTAGAAGTAATGTCATTGTAAAATAATTCAGAAATGAAGATTAAAAATCTATAATCCTTCCATCTGAAGATAACCACAGTTGACATGTACTTTGAGTTTTTACTATGTTATGATATACGTTTATAAATTTTTAACAAAAATATAATTGTGCTTTACATACTATTTCATAATCCGCTTTTCTCACTTAATAATATATTGAAAACATATTTTTTTATAGCATTTTATTAACATAGCTCCAAATTCTAACTTAATGGCTCCATCTTATATTTTGAAAATATCACTGTAGGGCTGTTATGATGGCCTTTTTTTAAAAATGTGTAACCTGATCACTGGTCCTTTAAGGCGAGGGGCTTCAGGCAGCCAATGGAGCCAGGGTTGGGGACTGACGAGGGCTGTCAAAAGGACAAGTAACTGACTGCTGAGGTTGAGGAAACCCATCTTTCCTCCAAGGCCCCTGGGTGCTAGTCTGCTGTGGGTGGGCGATGGCTCAGAGTTGCAGCTCAAAGCGCGGGGACCGTGTGTGAGCCCTGCAGCTCTGTGCGGGCGGGCGTAGACGCACCTGTATACGCTCTGCCAGGATCTGAATGAGCAGTTCCTCGGGGAGCACACAGCTCAGAAGCCCGGTCTCGCCTCCGATACTGGCGCTGACACTGAGCCGGCGCTGCGTGGGCCCGGAGGGGAGAGGGCTGGAGGAAATCTGTCGTGTGGGAGAAGGATCAGGAGTTAGAGTACAGCATGGTGCCCTAACTACTCCTTCACATACAGGCCATGTGACCTCAGGAAAATCATATAACGGCAATTCCTCATCTGTGAAATGGGGCCTGCATTGTAAAATGGAAGATTCCTCTCTTCGTTAAAGAAGTGTTATAAGCTTCAAACGGGAACGCTGTAGAAGGTGATTCGACTATGTGCTGAACAGTACACATCTGTTCACTTACTCGACAGATATTCACTGAGCACCTGTTATGCACCAGGGGCCCCTCTGGTACTAGAGACACAACAACAGACAGGTCTGGCCATGTTACTTTCTGTGTGGTCCTCACATTCGAATGGGGGAGAAAGAAATGGGGCAGATGAATATACGAACCGGTGATATAATTTCAGATAGTGATGAGTGAGTGCTGGGGAAAAATGATCAGATAAGGGACTAAAGGGCCATGACGGGGTTGGACAATGGCCATTTAGTAAGGGTAGTCATACTGCCTGGGTGATGTGAAAGAACAGGGCAAGATCCCGAGAGGAGAGTCCTTCTGAGAGGGAAGAGCGAGCCCCCTCCACGTGAGGTCACTTGCAGGGCTGCGGAGAGCTCACAGGAGCCCAGGCTCAAAGTCAGGGGCATAGGCAGTTGGTTCAGAACACGCAGGGCTCACAGGCCACGGTAAGGAATGTGGATTTTACTCCAAGTAGTATAGGCAGCTGTTGGCATGTTTTAGACAGATAAGTGATCCGATTTTTATTTTTAAAAGACCACTCTACCAGCCGCATGAAGTGACAAGAGTGGAAGCAGGAAGGCGAGTTAGATATCTCTGTGCTCAAGGCAGAAGGCGATGGCGGCAGTGATGAGGACGGTTTGGCTGGAGGTGACCAGAAGTGGCTGATGCAGGATACATTTCTGAAGCAGAGCCAGTAGGATTTGGGATGGGACGTGAAGGAAAGAGAGGCAACAAGAACGAATCCTTGAGTTTTGACCTGAGCAAGTTAGAAAAGGGTGAAGTTATTTATTAAGAAAGAAAAGACTATGGGAAAAATAACTTTTTGAGTTGTGCTGTTTTATTGACGACGGCCCTGGAGGAATGGAAGCAGCCGTTAATGGGGCAGAGGGAAGTGGGGGGAGTACGGTGCTCTGAACGCCACGTGAAGAAAGCCTTTCCAGGAGGAGTTATCAGCTGCAAAGAGGTCATGTGAGCTGAGGCTAGAAAATTGGCCTCTGGATTTGGCCAAGATGAATGCCAATGACCCTGAGAAGAGTAGCCAGTGGAGTGGCGAGGAGGAAGGTATCACTGGACTAGGGGGAAGAGAGAAGATGGTGAGGAGGAGGAGGCAATCATGCAGTCATTCTTTAAAAGAGCAGCGTAAAGAGGAGTCGAGAGCTGACTCAACTCCTATTGGCTCTCCTTCCAAAATTTATTCTGTATCGACCACTTGTCACCACTTCTACCATGACTGTCCTCGACCCTGCTGCCATCGTTTCCTTGTTAGATATCTAACTAACAGTGGGAGGAGGATCTGGGGTCATGGGGAAGTATTTTGGAAGATGGGAGGTTATAAAACATGCATAGATGCTGAAGGGGAGGATCCAATAGATAGGGGGAAAAGACAAATGGGAGGGGGGCCAATTGCAGGAATTTAGCTCTTGAGTAAGAGAGAAGAGGGGTCCAGTACACAGGTGCAGGGCCGTGGATGAGGGCAGGGACAGCTCCTCAGCTGCAGGGAAGACACGGCACTGGGTTAGGATAAAGGCTGTCTAGTAGATCTGGTGGTGGAAAGATAAGGTGGCTGCCTTCTATTTGTTGCTGCTCCTCTACGAAATCAGAAGAGAGGTCGTTAGTTAAGAATGAAAAAAAAAAGGAAAGTATCTTAGAGGTTTGGAGAGTGATGACAGCAATAAAATAGTTCTTTTGAAGAGATGGAGGGCAAATTTGCTAGGGCTGATTAAAGGGTCCACTTGAGATTTATGGTCTTAAATTTAAATTAAGACCATTCAAGGGTGATGAAGATTTTTCTCAGCTATGTTGAGCGGCCCTGCATGGAGCAGGTGGAGAATTGGATTTCTCAGGGCTGAAGTTTTGCTTGGAAAGTAGGATGAAAGAGAAGGGGCAGGGGAGTGCCAACAGTGGCAGACCACAGAATCCCAGCTGAGTAAGAAGGCAGGTGAAGGGGGTGGTAGCTAGTGAAGATGTGGGATGGATGCTTTGATGGAACCAATTACTTCCCAGAGTAAGTCACCCGGAAAGTTAGAAAGTAGAACGTGCGGTATAGAGAACTTGGAATTTATGGGTAATGAACAAGGTGTTGAATGGGAGCAGAGCAGTGAATAGCTGAGGATGCCGTAGAATCGAGAAGCAAAAATGTTGGATTAAATGTCATTAGAAAGATCAGGATTTCTAATACGTGCTTTCCTGGAGTAAGGTGATTTATAAATAAATGACCTTTTACTACAAGTCATGTCTTTCATTATGTGACATAGTACACATTTCTTCCCATTTGCAACGAATGACTGAAATTCCAGTCATGGGAGCGTTCATGCTTTAGAAGTTCATGCTTGGAAGACCAAGCATCTCTGGATAAAACACTCAGACAGGACAGCTGTTGTTCAGAACCCCTGAGTTCCATCACATGGGGCAGTGCAGGTGGCCACATATGGGGGTCTGTGAGCTCTGATTTCTACTGTGATCTTGAACAGGTTTTAAGTTCCCTCTTCAGTAAAAGGGATTTTTGGAGTCAGAATTGGGATTTTCTGCCGTCTTTGATATATTCTAAAAAGCCTTACTTCACTGTTCAGATGGTCAGAACCAAACCAAAGAAAATGGTTCCCCATGACACACAATTTAATACAAATATATGGGTTTTAGTTCATCTAGAAACTTCTATGTAAAGAACACCATATTAGATCTTGGAAACGGGTTAAAGGATGATGCTCTAAAGAAATTGAATCAATGATTTCAGTTTTCAAGATGTTAGAAGAACACATGACTAAAGCGGTGATCAGACACATCATCCGGCATAAATGCAGCCTCAAGGGAGGCCCCATCCAACCAACATACTTCCTTCCACGCGGAGACTTTCATTTCCATTCCAGCCACTTGCCCCATCCAATACTCCATGACCTGCTTGCCTTGTCTAACCCTCCGTTCACCTGCCCCATGCAACATGTAGGCCTCCTCTCCTGGAAGGACCTTCGCCTCCACTCCTTCCATCAGCAACCTTCTGTGAAATGAGGTTAAACAACACGACCCCTACAGGACGTCCAGACCGTAACAAGACCCACAGACGCTTCTGTGCTTCCTGTTTTCCCTATTCTATGGTGCTCCTTAATTCTTTCTCTACCTAGGCTGGTCTTCTCACACTGATGCCACCCTCGACCCCCTTTCCCGTTGTTCTGAGCACCCCCTGACCCTGAAATGATAAGGACTTCTCTCTCTGCCTCTGCAGGAGGGTTGCCAGGAGCTATTTAGAGAAATCTTACAACTATGAAGTTATGGCTTCCTGTCTTGGCTGGGCCATCAGCATTCTCAATTATCTTTTCTTTTGTCCACCACCAATTTCTGGTTCTGTTCTTCACAGTGGATACATCAGCGCTTTGCCACTCTACTCAAAGTGCTCTGCATCCCAACATCCCCAACACTTCCGGCAAAGACTCTGCCTCCTGCACACATCCTAGAGCCATTCAGCAAAACCTTTTTCAACCTCTGCCCTCCACCTCCCCTCCCCAAAATGTAGCTGTCTCTGTTTTCACTTTTACTGACTCTAGAGGAAGTTGGTCCCTATCCCCTTTAACTATGCTTAAGTCTGCCCTTCCTGTCTCCTCCTAGAATCACATTCCCTCTTGGGTAGATCATCACCTTATATTTCTGAAGGAGCTCCTCTCTTTACAGACCTGCTTGTGCCTCTATATCCTTTCAGAGAAAGAACTCTCTTGACTGTGGGTTGGCTCCTTTAATAAACACTGTTTTCCTTTTCTTTCAAACATCCTAGAAGCCTACACTCACTTGACTCCGCTTTCTCACCGACGACTCATCACCCAGCGTCTCTCACAGTGTCATCCACTGTCTCTGGCTTCAGCACCTGCTATTCTGCTGAGCTTGTTCTCGAGGTCCTTTGGCACATGGCTCAAACTCTCTGACTTCTTTATGACTTTCCAAGACTCCCCTGCAGCTCTCCCATGACTGGTATCAATGGTTCTCCCTTAGCATTCTTTTAGTAGTAGGTTGAGCCATATGAGACGTTGCTGTTATGGAGTTCCCAAATGGTTGAATAGTGACAATGTCATATTGTTTAACCTAATTCTTTTTACACACCTATTTGTCCCCAACCACATTTTATTGCAAATATTCGAAGGTGTGGCCATCTCCTTCATCAGGTGCTTAGTGCACCTTGAGTGCAGGGCTTTTGCTTCATCTATCCCCACTCTGTCAGCACCCACCCCAGGCACTCGCTGAACACGGCTGGATGAATCTCCTTTCTGGAGTGGTGGTGCAGGGACAGCACTCAGCCTGCCTGGACAGCGCACCCACAGGGATGAAGTCGTGTTGACCTGGCTGCAGGATGCTGAGGAGGAGGAGGAGGAGGAATCCCAGCCCTCCTGGGGGCCCTGGTTTGTACCTGTGGTGTCTCGGATGAGTGCTGGTGATGCTGCTTCTGAGACCCAGAGCCGTGGCTCTCTGACTTGCCTTTGGCGAGCAGCACACTCCCACGCAGAGACTTTGCAGGTTTAAATTCCGGTGTTACCAGGGTGGATTCTGAGGTTAACTTGCCCAGGGTCTCACTGCTCAGTCGTATTTGTCCCACGGTATTTTGGCTTGAGTTGACTTCTTGGGCTATACAGAGAGAGTGGGTTTATATTAAAAGTCACCTCAGGATAATAAGGAAATAAAAGTGGGGATGGTACGCTGAAGTCTAGTGTGATTCTCTTGGGGAATACAGAGCCATGCCCGCCTGCAGCTGGCTGATTGGCTGGGAGAAGAGGCTCCGTCCACCAAGGACTAGACAAGGATGGCTCAGTGGAGGGCCTGGCTTGAAGTCCAGGGCTCTTCACTGCTCATCTTCCCAGTGGCTCCTATGTTAATTTGCCTCCCTCTCTCTTCCAGCACAGAGGGCCATCATGTCTGAAGCTGCGGGCACACTAGAGCCCTGCCCTGGAAACTTAACGCCTGACCTTTGGTGGTTCTAGGCAGTGGTGGTGCCAGTGGGTAGCTTGGGTAGGGCATTCTCTGCTTCTGCAGCACAGCTGACAAAATGAACAAAGTGAGCCTGCTGGCAAACATGGCTTCAATATTAATTTCTTCATTTCACCTCTGTCCCCTCTTCCAGTCAGATCATCACCTCTTAGCGCACCCACCCACTGAGAAATTCCCTCTCAGAATCAGTGGTTGATGTCATCATTTATAAGGGTTTCAATGGCATCCGTTCAAAAAAACTCTTGCTAGAGCCACTGTGGTGAGAGGCTCTCCTGCCCCTCAAGCCTCTCACCACAGTGGCTGAGAGGTCATCAGGCCAAAGGCACTCTAGCAAGAGTTTTTTTGAACGGATGTCATTCCGTTCTTACTGTGAATTCTTACTGTGTCTTCTGGGGCACCAACTCTATGAGGATGAACTACCTGCCACTTTAGGAGAATGGGAGTCTAGAAGATGCTGTTGGCACCTAAGATGTAGTGGTAAGGCCGAATGCTCGGCGGCTTCCACGTTTCTCTAGCTCTCAGGCAGATCTGTTAAGACTCATTACTCCTCGTTGACCATGTAAGCAAATAAGCACAACTGGAGAGTTGTGCTTATTACTCTGCTTTATTTTTTCACGTGGCTTCCCCAGGAGCTGATTATGGGTACAAAGACTCCATACTGCACCCTGAAGGATGGAAGAGGTGTGGCAAAGAGCCTGAAGCCATCAGGGGAGCAGTCGTACCAAAGTTCTGCTCCAATTATAGAGCTGGGTGGTCCTATGTTCATCCAGGCCCTATCGCCCTCAGTCCCTCCTGGCTCTGCCTCCTGCCACCACGTACCTGCTCACGTCACTGTGAGTCCCTCTCTGCCCCGCCCATCTCTACCTTTGCTGATTGCTATGCAGTCTCTTCTGTGTTCTCCTCAGGCCTTCCACCTTTCCCTGCCCATAGCATCACCCCTCCGTATCTTAAAAGTCACTTCTTTCTGATACAACACTAATGAGAGTTTTCATTTGACCTTTCATTTCTTTCAAGAGATCATCTTTCCTTCACTGCCCAATTTCTCAAAACAGTGGTCTAGCCCATCCCTGTCCAATAGACATATAATATGAGCCATTAATAGTAATTTAAAATTTTCCAGCAGCTAGATTAAATGAGTAAAATTGGATTTTAATGGTATATTTTATTTAACCGAATATATAAAATATGTAAAAATTATTAAATATATAAAAATAGATACTACAACATAAATATAAATATATAAAAATTACAGTGGTCTAGCCCATCCCTGTCCAATAGACATATAATATGAGCCATTAATAGTAATTTAAAATTTTCCAGCAGCTAGATTAAATGAGTAAAATTGGATTTTAATGGTATATTTTATTTAACCGAATATATAAAATATATGAAAATTATTAAATATATAAAAATAGGTACTACAACATAAATATAAATATATAAAAATTACTGTTATGTAACAGTCTTTATAATTACTGTTATATAACAGTCTTTATTCATAGTCTTTATTCATATAGTCTTTATTCATGCCACATCTTCAAAATCCAGCATGTATTGTACACTTACAACACATCTCAATTTGGACTAGCTACATTTTATGTGGCCAGCGGGTACTGTGTGGGACAGGTTTAGATTCATTGCTTTCTCTTCAGTACAGCCTGCTGATTCCACAGCAAACAGCGAATGTGGGTTTGGGCTTAACCCCTCCATTGAAAGAATTTTCTCCAAAGTCACCAGTGACCTCTGAACTGCGGACTACAGTGGCTCTCTTCTCAAGGCTCATTCTATTTGAACTTTTATCAATCTCTGATTACATTCATTTATTGATTCCATTTTTATAAATCTTTACTGTGTCTGCTACATGCCAGGCACTATTCCAGGTTCTGGGAATATATTAGTGATGAAAACGTACACAAACCTCCGCCCTCAGAAGCTTACATTCTAGTGGGGGCAGACCGATAATAAAATAAGCAAGTAAAACAAATAGTACGTTAACTAGCGACGAGGGCTCTGAGAAGAACCGAGCGGACAGGGCGCCCGGCCTCCGTCGGGGCCTGAAGAGCCGAGCGAGGCCTTCTAGCCCCTCTCCCTCCTGCGGTGCGCTCTCCACGTACTGCATCCTGCTCTGCTGACGCACTACCCCGCTGACCCCCACGCCGCCTTCTTGGCCTTCCCTGGCCCTCTCCTCCTCCACCTCCTCCTCAAATATAAGTGCTCCTCAAGGTTGCATCCTGCCGGACCCATCCCACTCCTCTCTTTCTGGAACTTTCTGGGCTGACTTCCTCTACTCCAGAGGCTGCAGCTCTCACTTCGCTGAGGTAGACTCCCCCAACTAAGTCTTTAGATTCACATTACATTCTCAGACAGGGAGCTCAAATTCATGATGTGTCACAGGACATTAACACAGCTCCAAAGGCCTCAGTGAAATGTAATGTATTCGACAGAAAAGGAAACAAAAAACTAAGGGAACCAGAATTATGATTCATCGTTATTGAACTGAAGGATAGCAGAATATGCCACCCCAAAATATGACTCTAGGTGTTTCAGAACATGCCACCTCAAAATATGCTGCTTTGATATATTATTTTGAGCTGCTTTGATATATTGATTAGTTTGAGCACTTGAAAAACAGAAAATGCATGTAGAGGATTTCCCTGAATTCTCCTTATCTGCCTAAAGAAAGGCCCGCAAAAGGAACTCAGCTGTGACAAATCTCCTTTCTGGGAGTTTCATCAACCAGAGAAGATTGACTCTTATCTCAGGAGAGGGGACTAGAAGTCAACACTCCAACCAGACAAACTTTATCACAAACTCTCATCATCCATCAATTCTTCTAAGGGTTCATTCATTGTTCCTAATAATCATTTGCTCTCCCCTAAGAAGACTACTTCCTACCTCTCCTTTCTCTATTAATATGGTATTTAATCCTGAATTCTAAAGCTACCTCTTTGAATTATTGATTTTTCTCTGAGTATCTCTCATGTATACATGAAGTACACATGTTAGTAAACTTGTGATTTTCTCTTGTTAATGTTTTTTATTATAGGGGCCTTAGTTGAGAACTCAGAATAGTAAAGGGAAAATTATTTTTTCTCCCCTATATTAATTAAGAGCTATTTCTCTTATCTTCCAAGCAAAGAACTTCCCATGTTCCTAAGCATCCCATGCAGAGGTATTGAGGGGAGGGGACCTGCCTGAAAGCCCCCGCCAGTTTTATCAACTAGCTGGTACACTATTAGCAATGATATCATGTTGTTATGAGCATTTGTATAAAAATAGTTTAGCTCTGGCAGGCACTCTGCTTCAACACATTTTCCCATTGAGCAGCTGTTGTCCTGTGGGTCCTTGGATGACCTAATGGAGCCAGGATTCTTGACTTCTGGGAGGTGGGCCACACCAGACCTCACTACTATGGGGTTCAAAAACTCAATTCATTTTCCTTGCCAGCAAATTTTCTCCTCCTTCTACGTTGTCTATCTTGGGAAATGACATCGTTCTCTTCCGAACTAGCAGTCTTGGTGTGACCACCTTGAATGCTTCCTACTCCTTCAATTCCTGGCCTTGCAGATGGCTACTAGGTCAACTTGCCCAGGCCCATTCGTCTTCCCCTTCACTCTTGCTTCCCCTGCAAGACACGACATGAGCTCCTCCCATACAGTGGAAATGGCCACATTTTTCCCTTCAAAATAAAAGCCAGATTCCCAATCTTGGCATCGAGGTCAACTTTAATTGGCCTCAGCCTGTCTTCCCACCTCTAATTTACTGTCAGCTGTTGTCCTGTGGGTCCTTGTCCTCATCTTTAGCTATCAACACTCTTCTACTCCTTCGAAGCCCATGTTCATGGAAACTTTCCCAAATCACACTTGTTGGAACTCAGTCATCCCAAACTTGTTCTTTCACAGAAGCCAGTGCTTCTGTTACATTATTTTTCTCTGCTCCGAATGAGCGTATGTCTGCTCTTCTCCAGGTGTCACCTCCCCTCACCCCTGCCATAGTGTGGGCCACGTCTTATTCATTGTCCTTTTCCCTGCAATGCCCTGTGAGTGCCTGCACTGGGCAGCCAGGGGAGCCGCAGTTGCTTGAAGAAAATTCTCCTCCAGGCTCCTAAGTCAGCAGCATGGTATAAGTCAGCCTTCAACTGAGCTGAGGGAGAAAAGCTCCGTGGGGGACAAAGAGAAGACGGCCATGAACAGTAGTGGGGTGCTGGCCATTTGACCATAACAACTCAGGGTGAACGGCTCTTACCAGACTCCTCTTCCTTCATGGACTGCTCTATGGCAGCCCTGATGCAGAGCTCCCGGGCCCGCAGCCCTGAGATGTTGCTGCCATCAGAGATGGCTTCCAGCACGACGGAGTCGATGTTCAAGCAGGCTGCACTGTAGTACTTGGCCATGCTGACTGCCGTGGCTGACTTGCCTACAAAAAAGGTCAGGGGGCTGAATTTCATGGCTTTCATTTGCTCAGTTTCCTAGACAGAAGAAGCTTCTAGAATAGAGGCCCCTGTAAAGTGATCTAAGTGCTCTGCCTCTAAGTCTCTTGTGTGGCCTGAGGTGGCAGCAGAAAAGAAAAGGAAGACCTGAGCCATGAGTCAGGCCCATGGATTCTGCTCTTAATTCTAACACTGATGTGCTATGTGCGCTGTGACAACCCACATCCTCCCCAGACTTTCTCCTCAGTTTAAAAAGTGATTCTGTCAGATGCTCTTTAAAAGTCTTGCAGCTCTTACTGTCTCTGATTCTAATAGAAAGACTTTTTTGTTTTTAAGAACAATGTCTTTTTTTTTTCTCTCATTTTGAAATACCTGCTTTATTAAAAAGCAAAGAGAAAATTCAGAAGTAACAGACAGGAGAAAAGGAAAAAGATCCATAGTTCACTCATCCAGAGAGATTAAAGTTCACATACAGGTTGCTCAATATGCAGATGTACCTATTTTAGGTTGAATAATGCTTCCCCAAAGATGTCACATCCTAATCCCCTGGAACTTGTAAATATGTTACCTTATATGGTAAAGGGACTTTGCAGGTGTGATTAAGTTAAGGATCTTGCTATAGGAGATTATCCTGAATTACCTGGCTGGGCCCAGTGTAATTCCTTACAAGAGAGAGAAACAGGAGGGTCAGAGTCAGAACAGGTGATGTGATGATGAAAGCAAAGACAGAAAGACTGGAAAATGTTAAGATGCTGGATTTGAAAATGGAGGAAGGGGTCATGACCCAAGGAATGAAGGCAACATTTCTAGAAGCTAGAAAATGTAAGGAAATGGATTCTCCCCTAGAGCAGGGGTCCCTAACCCCCGGGTTATGGACTGGTACCAGTCTGTGGCCTGTTAGGAACTGAGGCGCACAGCAGGCAGTGTGTGGTGGGCGGATAAGCAAAGCTTCATCTGTCTCTAATGTTTTTATGTTTTAAAATTTTTAAAAGAATACAAGCTCAAACAATTTAGAGCCGTATTAATTAAAAATGAGTTGCCTCTGCTCTTTCTCTAACCCGGTATCTCTGAGGTTGGCAAGTTAACAGTTTGAGAATACTCTTTTGGGGAATAAATGTCAAACAAAAGAGTCTTCTATTGCCTCTAAAAGCGCAAGTGCAAATTCACCATAAACCCAAAAGGGTCAGCCCTGCAGAGTTGTGGCATACCTGACAAGGGTGTCCCGTGGATGATAATGGCAATGCCTTTCCGGTTCTTGGCCATGCGGCCTTCTGGAGAAATATCGATGCCCAGGTGGCGAGCGATCACCCGGCTCACTGGGTTGTTCTCTACTTCTCCGACTTCTTCTGCAGAATGGCTGTCATTGCTCTGTATCTTGTCAGCTGTAAATTAAAAATAAACGTGCGCAGGTGCACATGTGTGCGCATGAGGACACGCCCAGAATTTACATGGGTTCTGATGGAAACGGGAACTTTTTTTTTAAACATTGTTGTTTGAAAACGACAATCTACAGCAACTAAGTCGTTACTGCTAAGTCGTCACTCCCCCCGTAGTGTATGAGAGTGCCCTTTTTGGCTAATAATTTGCCCATGGCTAGTAGGACACTGCAAATACAGATACTCTTTGACTCTTAATTCCATTTTTGGGAATCTCTACTACTGAAAAATAATTTTGGAAACTAGCTGAGTTTGCAAACTTAAGGGACACGGCTAAATAAATGATGGCATATTCATATCATAGAATGAAAACATAGTTGTGCTAGAAGGCTTTGAGGATGCATTTCATGGAGGAAGGTGAAAAGGCATTAAACGGTCTTCCTACTTCTGCTTAGAGAGAACTGGTACCAAAACCTTAAAATGCTTGGTTACTTTGAAACACTATCTTTTCCAGGCTTTCCTCATCCTCCTCTTCGTCTGGGTTGGCCTTAGACTCATGCCGCTCTCCCAGGTCGGAGACAGATATCCCTCGGCTCAGTGAGGTCCTCTTCGTGCTGGAGGAGTTTCCCTGGTCTGACAAGGGCATATCTTCATCTTCTGTTAGACAGTGAAGGATGAAAACACACGGGGAAGAGTTGGGGCGGTGGGGAGGGGTGGGGCGAGGGAGATGATGGGGGCAGAAAAGAGAAACAAAGAGGAGAGTCACTGAACCGGTTATTATCACCCTGGACTATCCAACCCAAAGAAACAAGAACTGCAGCGAGTTTCTCTGCCCAGAGCATTTCTACTTTTTAACATTAAAATAAAAACACAATTATTGCTCCAGAAAATTTGAAAAATTCACAAGGGCAAAAATTATAAAAATTCATCTGCGAAAAGAGGTATAAATAGACAAAGAAACAGAGACAACAGAAGAATTGCAGCTTAGTTTTGATACGGGTACAGGAGAACTAGCAACCGCTCGCATTTTTAATTTTTCGAAACCAAACTTGGGATCATATTGTAAGTATCAGTGTGCGGCCCGCTTTCCCCCTCCGCTTGTCATGAACGTTTCTCCATGTCCTTGTTTAGCACCTCCATCCTGTCGTCTGCCCAGCACTCTCTTCACTGCCTCCATTCCACAGTTTCAGTGGGTGTGTAGGGCTGTGATTGTATAAATTTACCCCCCTCTACCTCAGGGCCTAGACATCCTCTTTGTTTAGAATCTGTAGTTGAGCTGGAGGGGTTGCGGCTCTCCTGCGAAGGCAGCCATGCGACCTGGGACTGCTGGCCTTCCCCGGACGTGGTGTGGGAAGCAGAGAAGGATGGTCCACAGCATGAGAGAGCAGAGTGAGCAGGTGCTCAGAGAAGCGCTGTGAGAAGCAGAACGTTTGCCTTGCTGGGCTCTCTCTGGACCCTCAGGTCCTGGCTCTAGACCACCTTTTAATGCGCCAAGTGGAAAAATGGATCCACAACTGCGGTGTGTAAGGAAGGGAATGAAAAAATGGGGACGAGAGCACCAGGGCCGTTCTCTGACTTCACGAAGTCCTTTGTACATCGCAGCTTCTCACAGCTCTCTACCGAGGCCGCCAGTCAGTCCTGAGTTAAAATGTCTTTCCCCACCCTCTTCCTGACTGTGAGCTCTCAAAGGCAGGGGCTTGTTTCATTGATCTTTTTTCCTCCCCCCCCACCCAGCACTTCAGCTCAATGCTTGGAACACAGAGGGTGCTTGTTACGGGCTTAATTGGTTCCCTCGAAATTTACCCGTTAAAGTCCTAACCCCCCAGTACCTCAAAGCGTGACTGTGGTTGAAGGTAAGGCCTTTAAAGAGGTAGTTAAGTTAAAATGAGGTCATGTGGGTGTCCTAATCCAACCATAATCCAACATGACTGGTATTTTGTAAGAAGAGATTAGGGCACACACAGAGGGAAGACTGTGTGAACACAGGGTGAGGACAGCTGTCTACAAGCCATGGAGGGAGGTCTCGAAGGAAACAACCCTGCAGACATCTAGATCTTGGATTTCTAGCCTCCAGAATTGTGAGAAAATAAATTCCTGTTGGTTAAGGTATCCATTCTGCGGTACTTGCGATGGCAGTTCTAGCAGACCAATAGTGCTCAAGGAATGTGACTGGAAGGTTGGGGAGAGAGGCAGCCTTCTTCTCTCATCTTCTCGTTTTAGGGCAAACTAATATCCTCTGACTAGCTTCCTTGAGAGACCACAAGGCCGACCCAAGGGCAGGAGTAATGGACTCCATGCAATTCATTCGCTCATTCACTCTTGCAGCACATTTTTTTGGGCACTACAACGTGTCAGGTGTTGTTCCACGCACTGCGTTTACAGGTGGGGGATGGGTGGCCACTGCTTTTATGGGGCTTCCGGTCTAGGGGAGGAGACAAGTACGAAGAAAATAATTATGCTGTGATGACTGTTATGCAGAAGAAGAGAACAAGGGAAAACAGGGAGGGGACATTTCTAGGAAGAGGGCATGGAAAAGCAAGAAGGAGAAGCATGTGTCACGACAAGCCACAGAATCCTACAAGTCGTCAAGGAAAGTTGATGCTCAAGTGCACACAAGGGGGCCCCTGGGCAGATGACAGGGTAACTTAGGGGCACTAGGCTAGAAAGGGCCAGATTGTGAGTGCACAGTCCAGCTTCATGACTGGGTTTGGAACTCTGTTTAGAACTGTGGAGGGTCGGCCTCTTCCTCATGTGAACTCCTACCCTGACCTCTTTTAGGGTACCTGTTTTTACTGTATGTGACGTACTACCTTGCACTATCTCGGCACACGTATGGAGGCTGCGAAGCGGGTACCGTCGTGGGCTCCTGAGTCACAGGGACCTGGACTTGCATCCTGCTTCTGCCACTTAGAACTGGCCTCTTAGCACTTCAGCTTCTCATCTGCACGTGTGAAGCCCTCAGTGCGGGGCTTGGTATATAGCAAGGGTTCCAAATCTATATTAGTTTTAGTCTTAACTTCCCACTAGATTCTAGTAAGAGCAGAATGTGTCCCCGTCTCTACCTCCATACCATGGGGATCATAGGCCATTTTGTAAGGAGTAGAAATAAAATGCATGAGGCATCCAGCACCCGCCTTGCACCTGGCAGGTGCTCAATTGCTGGCTGGTCTCCCAGCAGGGACAAGTCAAAGAAGCCAGGGCAGGGGTGGGGGCCGGGCCCCCGAGCTGAGTTCTCACCGTTCTCCTGCGCCAGCGTCTCCAGATATTTCACCTTCATCTGTTCTTCTTTTGACCGCTTCACCTCCTTAAAGTACTCGTACAGCTCTGGGGGCAGCTTCTCTCCAGGGACACGGGGTGGCAGCAGCAGGGTGTTATAGGAATCATAGCCCTTCAGTGTTCGCAGGATCTGCGCAGGGAGAACGGGAACTGCTGTTGGCCTCACTGGAAGATTCTCCCCACAGCCCTCGTTGGGCCCTCCCGTCCATCTTGTAAAACCTCTGCTCCTGCCTGAGGCTGGCTGTATACAAGAGCAGGGTCCTTTGGGGCGGGGGGTGTCTAAAAGTAAGGCTGAGCCCTGAAACTGGGGATATAGGATCTTTATTTTGCCTCATGTGAGCCTGGGCATTTCACAAGTGGAAGGAAATTTTCTTCTTGTTTAAAAAATAGCATATACTGTTTTTCTTCCCCCGCCCCGCCCCCACCATTGACAAAAGTACAGAACTCCATTAGTCACTTTTAGTGGCACATCTTTATAAAACATTGTGGTTGGCAATATTATACTAGGTAAGGTGGTTGTCTCATAAACGGATGATCTACGGAAAAACAAGAAAAATGTGTATGCGTGTGTGCACGAGAGACGGGGGGCGGTGATGAGAAGAAATGTATATTAGGGTTGTCAGATGAAATACGGGATACTGAGTTAAATCTGAATTTTAGATAAACGACAAATAATTTTTTGTATAAATATGTTCAGTGTTGCTTATCCGAAATTAAAATTTAACTGGGCAAACTGTTTTTATTTCTACTGAATCTGGCAATCTTAGTGTATATATATATATATATTTATAAAATACTATAAAATAACATCTTAGAAAGCAATTACTGCCTACAAGACCTAATTTATTGCTTCTGGCAGGTGCTGGGAGGGACACCTGGTATGAAAAATCTGTTTTGTTAGGTAACCCTTCTCCAGGATCACCATTTTTAGTTGTTTGAAAACCACTGTTAATAAGCTCATTCTAAGATATATATGAAAGTACAAAGAGCTAAGAATAGTCAAAACACTAGTAAAGAGGAATAAAGAGAGAGGACTGCCCTATCAGGTATCAGGACTTACAGGCAGGGTGGTATTCATGTTGGGACAGACGAATTGACCAATGAATTTTAGAGAGCTTAGGACAGACTCACTCATATATGGAGCTTTGATATAGGACAGAGGTCAGTGGGAAAGGAAGGAATATTCCAAAAACTGATTGATGCAGAGACACAAAGTCCTGGCCAATTTGCTTCATTTGGGTAACTCCTGTGGGATCAGCTGAAGTCTCTGTTGCACTCATTATACAGTTCATCTTCTTTCTCTCCAAATTCTTCTTTCCTTATTCTTCACAGGTGTTGTTCCTGGGAGTGCTCCCTAATAAACCTTCTACATGCAAATCTCAGAATCTTAGATTCTACTTTCCATTGAACCTGACCCACAACAGAGGATGCTGTGCCAATGTTAGCCACTGAGCATTTCATAAATATCTAATGAAAAGACTCTGTTCCAGAGGGACATATTCCCATCTTGAGAAAAACTTCTGGATGCAGAATCCAAATTAGGCAGAGCATAAACACTGGGAGTAAGAAAATAGAAGACTCGAAGGCCAAGTTGGGGGAGGGTTCTGAGGAAGCAGAGTCACCCGAGCTAAGCCATCCCCAAATTCCTAACCCACAGAAAACATGAGATAACCAGTATTTGTTTTAAGGTGCTTAGCAATAGATAACTAATAAGTAATAGATAACTAAGCATCGGACTTCATGAACAGCAAAACCTTACGAGAAAAGAATGGAGTGATATGTTTAAGATATTAAAGCGCAGAAAATGTGAGCCAAGGGGATTGTATCCGATCAAATTGATCTTCAAGAATAAAACCCACAGATAAACAATTATGCCGAGAATATCGTTCCCGTGATCCCTAGAAATCCACTAGAATCCACTAGAAAATGAGCTTCAGACAACCAGGACCAGTGCTGACCATTGAATATGTTTAAGTGTAGAATTAAGACCAAATGATGGAAATTGGGTTCTGACATCTTAATATTGTAAGCTATAACACTGTAGATATAATGCAAGAAGCAAAACATGGAGGAAGTGTACATGAGATGATTACCTAGCAGTCATACCAGGAAGTAAAAGAATGTCATTTCGAATTAGAGGGTGGTGAGGGGAGAGGAAAAGAGATTACCAGCTAATTTTATTAGTATTGCTCATAGTAGGGAACTCAGAGGCAGTTTCTAAAAAGCTAGGTACTAAGGGTATTAGATAAAGCTATAGTTCATATAGCTCAGCCTCGAGGTAAGAGAGCAAGGTGGAGATAGTAAAAAATGGACCTGGATAGGTCAATGGAACAGAATAGAGATCCCAGAAATAGACTGAAATAAATATAGTCAACTGATCTGTGACAAAAGAGCAAATGTAACACAATGAAGCAAAGACAGTTTTTTCAAAAATAGTGCTGGAACTGTACAGCACATGTAAAAAAAATAAACCTAGATGAATCTTATATCCTCCACAAAAATCAACTTAAAATGGGCTGTAGACCTAAATGAAAGACATAAAACTATAAAACTCCTAGAAGATAATGTAAAAAAATCTAGATGACTTTGAGTGTGGTGATGACTTTTTAGATACAACACCAAAGGCACAGTTCATGAAAAAAATAATTGATAAGGACTTCGCTAAAATTAAAAACTTCTGCTCTGTAAAAGACAACGTCAAGAGAACGAGAAGACAAACCACAGACTGGGAGAAAACACCTGCAAAAGACGTATCTGGACAAACAAACGCATAGACTCAGACGACAGTTTGGTGGTTACCAGAGGGGAAGAGGAGTGAGGGGAGGATGAGGAGGGTAAAGGGGATCAAATATGTGATGATGGAGGGAGACTAGATTTTGGGTGGTGAGCATACCATGCAATATACAGATGATGTACTACAGAACTGTACACCAAAAACTTGCATAACATTATTAACCAATGTTATCCTAATAAATTTAATTTAGAAAGGACACATCTGATAAAAGACTGTTATTCAAAATATGTAAAGAACCTTTAAAATTCAACAATGAGAAAACAAACAACCTGATTAAAAAGGGGCCAAAGACCTTAACAGACATCTCACTAAAGATACACAGATGGCAAATAAGCATATGAACAGATGCCCCACATCATATGACATCAGGGAAATGAAAATTAAAACAACAATGAGATACCACTACACATCTATTTGAATGATAAAAGTCTAAAACACTGACAACATCAAATGCTAATGAGGATGAGGAGCAATAGGAACTCTCAATTATTGCTACAAAATGGTATAACCACTCTGTAAGACAGGTTGACAGTCTTTGTGAGACTACAAAATGGTATAACCACTCTGTAAGACAGGTTGACAGTTTCTACAAAACTAAACATATTCTTACTATACAATCCAGCAATCATGCTCCTTGGTATTTACCTAAAGGAGTCCAAAACTTATGTCAGTACAAAACCCTGCACATGGATGTTTTCACAGCAGCTTTAATCATAATTGCCAAAACTTGGAAGCAACCAAGAAGTCCTTCAGTAGGTGAATGAATAAACTGTGGTACATCCAGACAATGGAATATTATTCTGTGCTAAAAAGAAATGAAAAGACATGGAGGAATCTTAAATGCATATTAGTAAGTGAAAAAAAGCAATCTGCAAAGGCTACATACTGTATGATTCCAACTATATGATATCCTGGAAAAGGCCATACCATGGAGACAGGGAATGGGAAGAGGAGGGGATTAATAGGCTGAGTACAGAGGATTTTTAAGGTAGTGAAAATACTCTGTATGACACTAAATACTCTGTATGATTCATTTATGTCATTATACATTTGTCCAAACCTCTAGAATGTACAACATCAAGAGTGAACTGTAATATAAACTATGGACTTTGGGTAATTATGATATGCTAATATAGGTTCATCAATTGTAACAAATGTACCATTCTAGAGGGGAGGTTGATAATGAGGGAGGCTATTGAATGTGTGGGTGCAGGGAGTATCTAGGAAATCTCTGTACCTTCCCTTTAATTTTGCTGTGAACCTAAAACTCTAAAAAAATAAAGTTAAAAAAAAAATGAACACAGAGAAGCAACTGAAAAACATGCAGCCCAGAACAGAAAAAGAAATGACAGATTTAAGTCCAAACATGATTACATTAAATGTAAATGGTCTAAATATACCAATTAAAGACAGAGACTGCCAGAATGTATTTTTAAAAATGACCCGATTATATGCTGTCTACAAAAAACTCACTTCAAAATAACGATTGCTGCACATATTCTTCACCATTTGAATTTTAACTATTAGCATGTATTGGTTTTCAATTGGTTGTTTAAATGTATAATGAGATGACAAAGAAGCAATGAATTCTGCTCAGGGTCAAGCAGGTCTGAAAAGGCTACAAAGTGATCTTCAAATTGACCAGGAAGGGTTCAAGGGGAAGAAAGGGCAAAGGTCAGGAAGCAGCTGCCCCTGCAGAGAGAAGAGCAGGTGTACATGGCAGAGCACAGCACGGGCAGGAAAACGGGAGTTTGGTTTTGGCTTCTGCTCACCTTCTCGTCCATGAGATATTGCTGGTCAAATTCTAAGGAGTAAAACTCAATGGGAAAGTCACAGGGATTCTTCACCACCACCTCGGCCTCATCTCCAGGTGCATAAGGCAGCAGTGGCCCCAGCTCTAGAACGGAAGGACTGAATTCCAGGCGTGGCTCTAAGCCTTGCCCCTGCGCCAGCAGCGTGAGCTTTTGAGCACTCTGGGCAATCTGAAACGCCAGGGACTGACTGTAGAATTTCTGGAAAACATAAAAACAAAACAAGTATCTGAATTTTTTGTTACACGCCACGTAAAACTGAAATTGGTCCTATTTTGATTAAAATAATAAAAAAAAACTTTTCTTATAAAATAGCATAAGAACAATTTCTATTACAGTATTAATACTGCATATCTAGCACGCCAGGCACTGTACCCATGCTTTGTTACCTGCAGAAGGCCTTCTAGTGCCATGTTTAAATCCCTCAGACCCCCAGTGTATTTAGATGTCCTGCTGCTACTACCTGTAACTCTGGTCCTACACTTCTGGGCTCTCACTTCATGGGCCCTGCTACCCATGGGCAGAGCAGGGCAGGAAAGAGGGTTGCAGGGAAGTAATATCTTCTGGGAGCAGCCCTCAACCAATGGCTCTCACTCCCTCACTCCTGGAGAGGGATAATCCTGAAATATGTATTTTGTATATTTTCTCAGTTTCCAGTGGCATTAAGCTCCAGTCTCCAAGGTAGCTCGCTCACATGCCCTATTAGCTGCTTTACTTTCCCTTATCACCTACTTTTCTATGGTATTCCCTACTTTTTTCTGTTTGCCTTCAAAAATGTCCCCTGGCGTATTTTGTGAAGAACCTGAATTAACATATTTCCATTTTTTTGAATGTACAGTTAAGTGGCTGGTGAGGGATAATCAGCTATGGCATTCAGTTTATCTGATACAATTACAATCCAAATACCAGTTGAGAGTGATACCAATTATCCTAATCTGCTTTCACTGAATGAGGATTCACAGACCCCATCCCCTGAAGTCCTTCAGGGTCAGGATAAGACTGAGAATTCTGCATTTTTAACCAGATGCCCAAGCTGTTTTGATACAGCTGAGCTTGTGGCTCGGGTTTGGAGGCCATAATTGGCTGCATGATGTGAAGAGCTCCCAGCTATCTTAAGTCAAGAAGGGAGAATCAGATGGTTGGAATATGTATGAACACATACACATGTACAGAAAAATATCTACGGATGGAGACAATAAGAGAATGAATTATTGGCTGAGAGGGTTTTTCCATAGTTATGGGATTAGCACCTTATGATCCAAACTTCTATATTTTAATTGCTTTTTATGGAAATCTTTCTAAAACATTTCCTTCATTTCCTTGTTTTCTAACACAGGGTACTCTGAACACATAATGTCTAAGAGCTGCTAGTCTGGACATTGGTGATTTCTGATGGAGAGAGACGTGTGAATTGTATGGGCCGCAGAGCTAACTGATTACCATATACAGCCAATAAATTCCTCTCCCAATTGGTAGAAACATTTTATTAACTTTGACCAATTCCAACTCAACATTTATAGGCCTGAACAAATTTATTTTTACTGTATTTACTGATATTTCCCTCATTCAGTAAAAAATCCAAAATCTTGAGTAAATCCCTGATAGTCTTAAGACTCTCTAAGAATGAAAAGCATAGTAATTCTATTTTATTTTAAAAGGGTTGGGGAGATTTTTATGATAGAAATGGGGACTTTATTTTAGAATCAGATATAAAGTTATTCACTTTTCTTCTTTCTCACTGCAGATTCTTATGCTTTCCTCAAAGCCATTACCAGGAAAACAGGAGTTAACCACAGATATTCTAAAACTCATATCGATTTTTTTTAAAAAGAAAAACATCTTCCAAATGCCTTAAGCTTCAAGCAAGTCTTTGCAGTGTAACCTCTTGAGATCCTCTCTGGTTCTAAGTTTTTAAATTTTTTACTATGTTCTTTGTCAGGAGTAGCTTTGTACTGATGGTGTTTCACAAGAGATGTTTGTGAGGCCCAGAGAGTACGTTTACCAGGAGGTGCTTACTATTATAAAAGCTACTAATGATAATAGCTAACAGTTATTGAGACACTTGCTACATACATATAGAGCCATATACTGTGTATTTTATTCCACATTAATTAATGTAATCTTCAAAATGACCCTAGGAGGTACATATTGCAGTTGATAATGTCCTACCTGAAACCCTGGAGGCCAGACCCTTTCAAATTCAGATTTTTCAAAAGGTAAACTCAGTGCATGTACCCTATGCTACCAAATACCCTTAGCAGGGACTGGGGCAGGTCCCCTGTAATCAAACCCATTAACATTTCTGCAGTTGCAATGTGTGTCTCTGCAAACTAAGTGGCATAAAGAATGGTTGAATAGTCTCATGTCAGTTCAGATGAGGTTTATCTGCCCAATGAGTTTGGGTCTGAAACTTAAGAAAGTTTTTTTTTCCAATTTTGGAGCTTATTGGATTTCAGAATTGCAGTAAGAGATTTTTTGACCTATATTATTATTTTTCATTTTATCTATGAGTAAACTGAAGTCTAGAAGTTAAGTAATTTGCTCAAAGCCATGCAGCCTCTAAGTGCAGAGGCAGAAGACCACCAACCCAGGTCTACTGATAAAAGTCAATGTCTTAGATAAATCTGATTCCAGACCAAGTGCTCTTAACCACCAGGCACACAGCTTCTACAACAACCAGAAGCACTTGAGATGTCATAACCGGGATAAAGAGCGCAGGTCACTCAAAGCTTCCCTGGAGACTTAATCAAGCAAGGAATTGGAGTAAAGCTCAAAGGGATTCAGAAAGCCTGAATGAAACCACGTTTCTTTAAAGCTTACCTCTTCTTTAGGCATGAATTTCACTTGTACATTGGACCTCTCACCAGGATCCAAGATCCCAGAAGTAGGCTGGATCTCAAAGATTCGTGTCTTTGGCTTTAATTCAGCATGTAGTTTCCGCCTTAAGTACTTTGGCATGTGTTTCTCCAGCTGGTTAGTAAATATTAGACAATTAGATCATCATCTATGGAAAACTGCCTTTTCCAACCTCTATTCACTCAGCCTACATTTAATGAGTACCTCCCAGGCCTCAGGGAATGTATGGACACCAGGGATACCCAGGTGAATAAGGTATGAGCCAGACAGCATGGCCTGATTTATCTTTTAGGGCTGAGCTAAGGAACTAGATTTTATTCAAGAGACAGCGGTTGTTACTGAAAATCTTTGTGCAGGAGAGTGAAATGAGGAGAGTGAATGCCTAGAATTACCAATCTGGCTGAAATGGAGATGGAAAAAAGGGCACCCGAGGGCCACAACCCACTCACCTTGTTAAATGGCTTATGGTGGTGGACAAACCATTCGCAAGGGACTTGGAGGTGATTGGAAAGCTGCACAGTCTCTACAAGGCACTGTCCACACTGGATTGTGGCAAACTCCACTTTTCCACAGGACAGTGTCATAGTGGGAATGATCACCTTGGCTTGGAGACAGATGTGAACTGTGGGCCCTCCAACCACCTAGAGTGTGCATAAAATTGCTGTTAGCACAGAGCATGGGGTTGGGGGGAGGATAGCGGTTCTGAAATAGTAGCTGGACCAACCCAGGGTGATGGATGAGCAGAGGTAGAGGCTGGGGAGGGTCGGCTGGGCCCCACAGTACATCTTACCTTGATGGGCAGAATGACTTCTTTGTTTCCAACAGAAAGATTGGTCCCTTGTGAGTCAAATCTCACTTCAAATGTTTCCGTTTCACAGTAAGGCAGGTGCTTTACACGATCTAGCTCAGTACTGAAGCCTGGACCAAGACAAACCAAATTCTTAGTGGAAAAGAGGAACAGCAAACAGGAGCTGCTTTAGACAGAGCCCCTCTGGGGTAGGATGGGCATGTAAAGAACTGATTAATGGCCCAATAATTCTTTTGGCTGATCCCAGAAGATGCAGAGACACTACTCCAGAAAGACGGTACAGATGGCTTTGTTAGAAATGACAAGGTGCAGTGGGGAAGGGTATCCTCAGTCTGGTTACCTGTGTCATGAAGGACACGCTTTTCTGCATGGAAGGACACTGGGAAGTGACTGGTGTTGGTGATCTTGATGATATGGTTTCGGACGTCGCCAAGGATGATGTAGCCAAAGTCCAGGATATACTCTGGCAGCTGGATTCTGAAACGGTTAACAAGCTCTTCTCACCAGTCACTTTTCCAAAAGTGAGAGAGAGTGAGGCTCTCTTCCACCTCCTGTGCACAATGCTATATTCTAGAACTGAGAACAACTAATGGCCCCCAAATGGAGACTAGGAACAAGACACTTCCCCCAGATATCCTCACCGCTGTTTCAGCCATTATCTCAAAACACATTTAGCACGTGCTCTCATGAACCTGAAACCAGGCTGCGCATGGACGAAGTCAGATGTTTCTGACTTTAACAGGCAGAGACCTGCCTGGTTGGCTGGATGCTAGCGGATGGCAGCTACAAGAGGCCAGCGGATTGCATTCTGAGGTGATCGACGGTCCGGTGGGCAGCACTGCTGGCTCTGCTACACTTTAAAACAAGCACAACACAGAGGGCACTCACTTGGCCAGTCTGCGGCGACTCCGATGGCTGACGTCCTCTGTGGGATTGGGAATGACTGTTTTCTGATGTTCTAAGGCATAGCTTTGAACTATAAGTCGCTCTACTTCCATCTGGAGCTGAGCATTTAATTGGAGCAAGAGAGAAGACCAAGTGAGCAAATTCTTCTAGAACATGCATTCTCAATGTGGACAATACCACTCCTAACGGGGCGAAAACTGGTTCGTAGAGGGGCAAAAAAATCTTAGCTACAGCAATGGTTTGTGGCCCTCCAAAGGGCCACAGTACCTAAACCATCTATCTGTGGTATTAACATATTCATGGGGGGTGGAGTGGAGGAAGCAAACTGGTACATCTATACCATGAATAGTCTCAGCAGTAAAAAGAAATGAACCATTGATATTGATGGGTCTCAACGGCATCATACTGAATGAAAAAGCCCATCTCAAAAGGTTACACACAGTATAATTTATATAACAAAGTATAGAGATGAAGAATAGATTAATGGTTGCCAGGGGCAAGGGATGGGGAGATTAGGGGTAGATGTGGCTAAGGGAGTAGCGTGTAAGGGCAAATACAGATTGAAAACAATAGGCTTGATTCTCCCTATTGACAAGGGAAGAGACTTCTCACTCCCTTTTCTTAGAGCATTTACTTTAGAAAACTGGTAAGTTCTTTCTCTGTCTCTTTGAAATGTATATAAATCTTTTTACAGGCTATATCATAAACCTCTGGTGAGCTTTACAATCCAGAGTGTCTTTCCCAAGGATCTGAACCATCTCTTGTATGTAATCATCAAGCCCAATAGAGCCCTATCGCCTAGTCTTTGTGGAAGGGTGGGAGCCTAACTTCAGAGGGCTCTGTCATAAAAACATGAGAAGTCTGGTTTCCTTTGGATGAAGCCAATTTCCTTTGGATGAAGACAGTCTAGATGGTCACCACAATTACCATGGGAATATAAGATGAACTATATATGACAAGTGGTATTGTCAAGTCCTCTAATTTGGGGACCAGTTGTAGTTCTTAAGGATTACTGTTCACTATGAGAACAAGTATGTACTGGATTGTATCTGGTTGGCTATATAAAAGGCTGAGATTTCTTTCTGTCTTTGCAAACTCTTAGTGGACTGCCTGTGATATGAATCACATTCTGGTTTAATAATTATTTAATAATAAAATTGTTTTCTTTCTCTTCTACCTTTACGGGGAGATTTTTCTGGATTAGAAGGAGATTTTGTTTTTAATTCTATTTCCCCAGTAAACACAAGGGATCTTTGTGATGACAGAACCATTCAGTATCTTAATTGTGGTGGTTATGCAAATCTACAGATATGAAAAACTTCTAAAGAAACACACACACACGCACACACACGTGCCGCAGTGCACATAAAATTGGTGAAATCTGAATAAGCTCTGTAGCTAGTACCAATGTCAATTTCCTGCTTTTGGTATTATACTATAATTACGTAAGTTGTTATCATTGGAAAAAACATTTTTTTGCAACTTCCTGTGAATTATTTCAAAATATAAAATTGAAAAATTTAATATCAAACTCTTCAAAGAGATAATGTTTTACATTTAATAAATGTATTTAATGGGGTATTAGAGAAAAAATGTCTTGAGGGGAGTGTCAGTAAAAAAAAAAGTTGAGAAATACTGTTCTGGAAGGTCCAAAGCTGAAGTCCAGGGCCAGGCAGGAAAGGTTAATGTGTGAAGTGGCCCATGATAACAAAACAGAGAGCGGTGGGAACCGTGACAAACGGAGAGGAGCCTGCCTCGCCACAGGCCTTCCCAGTCATCTGGAGTCTACAACAGCCAAGCCAACCCTGCGCTTGGCTCCTGAGCCGCCAGTGGTCGGCCCCTGGCTTATGCGGGGGGACTAGCTTACTCTGCTAGTGCCATCGCGTTCTCAGAACCCCAGCCCAGGTCTGGAGGGACCGCCAGAGACCACTGTCCTAAGGCTCTGAGGAGGAGACGCCTGGGAATGCGGCAGCAAGGCCGAGACACACTGCGGCCCTCATGGACAGCTGGGAGTCTGGCAGCAGGGGGCAGAGGCCAAGCACACAATGTGAGCTGGACAGGCCTGGATTCAAATCCTGGCTCTGCTGCTTGCCTTGGGAAATACACTTCACTTCTATGAGCTGTAAAACTGTAAAATTAAGATGATAATGGCACTGTACTCCTCCCTCTCCCCATTGAGAGAGGATTTAATGAAATAATAATGCAGGTCAATAGTGTGGCCCAGACTGAGTTTAAGAGTTCAATAAATGGTAGCTGTTATTATTATGATTATCCATGGAGCTAAGGTTCACTTTCAGTATCTGCAAAATAAATTAGCACAGGTGGCCTTTGGGGCTCCCAGTGTCCCCAGTGACACACCTCTTCCCCATTTTAGAACTCCCTCTTAACCAATCTAGTGGCTCTCTAGCTACATATATAATTCTTCCCTAGGACAATATTCTCATGTCCATTTGCATTTTAAAAGAAGAGCACACAGAGAAAGCAGCCTTCAAGGTCAGAAATAGACTGTTAAGAGGAATTCCAAGGAATGGTCAGAGAGGACATTTTTGGGATTTTGCCTTCATATCCCATAGCAGGGGCAGCCTTTATGAAGCTGGGTCCCTCCCTTCCTCAGAGACCACCTCTGGGCTTGGCTCCCACCTTGGAGGCATCACATACACCTGACTGTTCCAGAACCCCTTTGGCTATGCCTCTCTCCCACTTAGCTGTTGGGTACTTAAGGTCTCTGCTTTGAATATTTCCTCTTTCCTAATCGCCCCATACATTTCCTGGGGAAGCGCATCTTTTCCTGTGATTTAAATGACCATCTGATGATTCTCAAATCATGTCCTCCATCCCCTCTCTCTCTCCAGGTCCATAGCAATGGTTCTAACTCCCTATCGGATATCTCCACTTGGATGATGCACAGAAATCTCTTGTGTGATAATGGGCCATCTGAACTCATCTCCCTTCCTCTCTCCCTCCCTAAACTTGCTTCTCCTCCTCAGTTTCCTGAGTGCCCCTTCCTTACTTTGCCATCTGAACAAATCACTAGGAGGTCACCTCCTCCTTATCCCCCATATTCAACCAATCCCTAATCCCTGACCTATCCATCTCGGAACTATTTCTTGACTCCACCTTTGTTTACACTACCTCCATCTCTCATTTAGAATTATTTGGTCAGCTTTTTAAGTAACTGACCTCGCCACATCTACTCTCATCTTCCCCAAGCCCCTGTCTTCTCAGAGCTCCACAAGACAACCAGAAGGATCTTTTTAAGATGCAAAATCAGATTACCCGCATCCCAGTGGAAACACTTAGTGAATTCTTGTTGCCTCAGGATAAAGTTCAAAACCCTTAATAGGTTCACTAGGGGGCTGTTTACCTTTTTAGGCTCATCTTGGCTCCCTAACCTCCCTCCTTCTTTGCTTAGCTATATCTTTCTTTATCTTTCTGTTTCTCAGAAATACCATGTCCTTCTTGCCCCGGGGCCTTTGCACCTATTGTCCTTCTGCCACATACATTCTGTGCAGAGTGAGGCTAGTCTTACCTCAAAAGACTCATCTTCAGGCATTTCCTCAGTTGTCTCAAAGTGATGGAACATTTTGTATTTGTTGCACTCTTTTTCTAGGTTTTTTCTGGCCTGATTCAAGAAGGTTTCATACTTTTCATTTCCTGTGGGGGTTGGAAAGAAAAGGATGTCAGGATGGTTAGAAATATATGAATTATGCCATAAACACAGACTCTTAGCTAAGGGTAAATAAAGTGAGAAAGGAAGTAAACTTTTGGTATCTCTTCTGCTATGTTTTCTTTGATTTACAGGGTGAGATAATTTGTGAGTGAGCTGACTTTGTATCAGAGACCTCACTACGTTTAATGAGATTATGCTCTAGTGAGCTACCAGCTGATTCTCAAAAACTTGATGGCAGGAACATCCTAAATCACTCGTAGGGTGACCAAGTGGATCCCAAATTATTTGGCACTTTCCCAGTTCTAGCACCGACAACTGGCTGATCTGGGAAACCCCTCAAGCAGGACAAGCCCAGATGGATGGTCACTCTTTAAATTAGTTGTTGTGTTTATGAAATCTCAATGACCAAAAAGAACATTTGAGGTCACGTTGCTTTAATTACAACTAAATACGTTACAATCCCCTGAACTGGAGAGGGTAGGCAATTGGAGGAGAGATTTCAGATACCCAAGTTCACCAGAAAGCAATGCAAATTCAAATGCGTGAGTGGGTAAGGCCTGCGAAGTAATTACAATGCCTATTAGGAAACAATAGGAAGCACTAGGACTGCAGGGGAAGTGGAGCACAGAAGACCCAACTCACGGTCTTCACTTGTAAATTCTTTTAAAGCCCTGCACTGGCCAAACCGTGTTTCTGCCTTAAGAGGCCAGCTGGGTGACCAGTTTTCAACGGCCAGGTAAAGGCTTGCCTTCCTGACAATTATACGTGGAATTGGACTAGCTTCTGTCTAGCTGGAATTAGATGCTAGAGTGTGTCAGTCTTAGATTTGCTAACGTTTGTGTTCGCAAATATTTTCAGGGAGCAGACAATTAGCATTTAATAGATGATTATCAACAGTTGAGTTACTGACTCTGGGGAATGGCTAGGAGGAAAGGCTGAGGTGTGAGGGCTTAGTCTGAAGCTGTTTAGGAACCATGGATTTCAAAGAGCTTGACGAGGGATTTACAAATAAGAGTGAGAAGATTCTCTTGACCTTTGTCTAGCAAGAAAGAGCCAGAGAGAGTCTATGGCTAAAAGAGCTGTTCAGCTGAGCTCTGGGATCTGCCAGGACAGAGATATGCTGGTGCAGAGCAATGGCTCTGGAGGCCAGGTGTTATCATGAAAGCCTTGGCTAGACGTATAAGCAGACAGCAACTGTCTAAATTAGCCTCCAACCTCTGTGATGCCAAAATAAGGGGTCAGAACCTTGGTTGCCTTTCAGCGCTGTTTATATTTTGAGAATTGTACTCCTTGCAGTAAAATCAGCTTTCGTGTTCTCAATGGCCATCTGTGAGTGTGCTACTGGGAAAGGAAAACTCAGGGAGAGATTATAGCTGGAAGGAACATGTGCCAAAAGAAAAGGCCTTCGAAAGTGCAATTTCCTGATGTTTATAAATAATTCAAGGATGGCAAAACTGGCCAGGGGGTCTTAATTTGGGACTGCCATGGCCAGATGTTGTCTCACTAAACTCTAGTCACCAAGTCAATTTTAACTCTTGACTTTTTTTTTTTTTTTTTTGCAATTGAGGAATAACACCGAAGGGAACTAGTGGGGACTGCTAAGCAAATAATGCGAGTAGTCATTAACCTTCAAAGAAGCAAAGCTAAAATGCATCTTTTGTCTCCAATGGGGAAATACAATAGTGGGTAGTAGTACCTTTGAGGTTCCTGGGGAGATCGAGGCAGATTCGGGGGAAAATTCCTTCTCCATGCAGTGTGATATTTTCTGGGTCTAGGTGGGCAATCTGTATCTGGAAACTCCTCTGAAAGACCTCAGGTACTCCGGGTAAGTAGTAAACCTTCAACACCTGCTCTTCAAGTGAACTGATAAAACCCTACACAGCAGAAAGACCAGTAGGAGCTTTAAAATTTACAATGAAGGTTTAAAATTTACAATGGACTCTTGCTTCTAGCAGTTTGATGGTCTAGATAATCACAAAGGCATATTATGCTGGTTATTCTACACTCACATTCCTCCCACAAGGTTTATTTTTATGATAAAAAATTATTTTTATGAGAAAAATTCAATGAAATTTCCTTAAAACTGATAGGTTTACATAATATGTATAAGAAACTACTCCCTCCATTTGCTTCTAAAACCAATTTGGCTCATTTGTAGTCGGTGGAGAGGAGGCCCTCAGCTTTAAGGAATTACAAGGGAAGTGTGAGGACATAGTGGAAATAAACTATTCCTACAATTATGGGGAAAAAATCCACAGGATTGTTTGGTTCACTATTGTACCCCTGTGCCTGAACAGTGTCTGGCTAATGCAGGACTCAATAAATACTTGTTTAATAAATGAGTGAAATGCTTAGGTTTATTTCTTTTTCTTACTTCTGAGAGCTCTTTAGTTTTACTTTAAAAATAATCACACCCATAATCCTAGCAGTGGACATTTAGTGTAATCTGAAATACCTCTGGAGTGCAGCTTGTAGCTCTGAATTTGGGCTCCTCCAGTCACGGCCACCTGGCCAGCACGGGAAGGCTACTTACTGAGAGAGGCAGGATGAGTGGCACTCCAGGCACAAGGTTGTCTGGTGAAGACTGGCAGTCAGTCAGAACCTTGAACTCGAAGCCAACTTTCCCAGTGTTCTTCAGCGTGATTTCATTCTCTGTGACGTGGTCAAACAGCTTGACAGGAGAAGGGGAGAGGAGTGACCTCTCCGTCATCCACGCTTCGGGGTGCCATTACCATCCCGACAGAGGTGGCTAGACAAACGTGCCTCCCAGACATGGATTTTATTTTTCATGATGTAGACGTAGCCAATTCCCATTTTAGTATCATAAAAAGGTGCCTATGGGGTGGGAGGAGCACTAAACCCTGGAAACCTGCTCTTCCTTAGTTCTGACAATTACTGTAGTTTAGTGTGGCTGTGGGGTGAGTGTCTAACCCTAAACTTCTTCAGCACAAAGTTTCTTCACCACAAAGAACTCAGGGTAGAGGATCTTAAAGTAAGCTTTTCTATACCAAGAAGATTTGTTGTTGTTTTTTTTTTAAATAAGATTTGAGTTTAGAATTTTCTAGAATGAATTTTTCTATTTACATGGAAAGACATGGAAACAATAGGCCAGACATGTTCTTTTTCCTCAGATTTTGTTAACATAATTAAGCAGCTAACCAGAAGGTCCAACATTCACAATAGCTACTTTGGGGGTTCTTAAGACAAGCTAGGGCAAGGAAGAGCTGCTTCAAAGAATATATTCTGAGTGCAGCCAGAACCAATTGCCCAAAGGACCCTGCAGATAAGGAATGAAAGAGAATTCTATTTGGTCAATGCAATAAACAAGGTCTCGATAGATGTTGAGTGGATTTGCTTTAAGGCACAATCTTTAACCTATGAACACACATGCACACATACACACACAATTCAGTAATTATACCTGCAGTAGCTATATAATGGGGATATAACCCCCATTAAAATTTGGTAGGAGATGTCTCTGAGTATATAATACAAAACCAAATTGGAAAGAGAAGGTACAGACATAGAATTAGCTGACAATTATTCCAAAGCAAAAATTAGAAGGTACATTATATTACGGGAAAGACTAAACTTAAATCTCAAGAGCATGTAAAGTAAGAGAAAGATAATGGAGGGATGGTGAAGAGTTGGATCTTATGGTATGCATAGGTTTGAGGCTGGTGGGGTAGAGGATGAGTGGGATAATATAAAAGGAAATGTGGAGGCAGGAAGGGCTGGGGTGCATTAGAGCCAGTGGGTAAACTGGCCTGGTCACAAATGAATGACTGGGCTATAATGGGGAATTATGAGAAACAAAGTTTAATGTAAGGAGCATCAGTTAAGAGAGGAGCTTAGGATGTCCTCACCCATGGAGAAACACATGGCTCTGATCCTGTTTTTTTGAGACCCATGATTGAAGGCCTTCTCTGACTCAGGCACAGTATTGACCTGACACTTAAGTAAGCACAACCACCTGGTGAGATAGGCATTGCCATCACATGCCCATTTTATAGATGAGGGTTACCGAGGCTTGCAGAGGTTAGGTGATGTGCCCGAGGTCACACAGTCAGTAGGAAGTAAAACCAGGATAATATCCCAGTTTTTCTGACTATAAAATGATGCTCTTTTCTCAACACTATATTGCCTTCCCAAATGCTGCTGGGGTTAGTGTTCAGGAACTGATGGGATGAAAATGCAATTTGGGGAAAATCTGTCTGGCAATGACATTTAGATGGGTTAGGAGTAGGAGCTGAGACTGGGTTGTAACTCCTTGCTTCCATAGGGTCCTTGGATCAGCAGCATCAGCATCAGTGGGAAGCTTGTTAGAAATACAGATTCTCCGGCTCCACCCTGGATCCACTGAATCAGAATCTGCACTTGAATACGATTCTCAGGTGATTGTATGCACATTACGGTCTGAGAAGAACTGCTGGAATAATTTAGGCATGATTCAATGAGCCTCTGTAGCGTGATAACCACAGTGGCAATGGGAAGGGAAAACTGACCCAGAGGGATCCTGCTGGAAGAATCGGCAAACCATGGATGCTGTAAGGATGTGGGGAGGCGAAGGAGAGAGTGCAGTGGCAAATGCCTTGGAGATGGTAAACTTGAGGGACTGAGAAGGTAGTAGTGCTCCAAAACGAAGAAGCTGGAATGGGCTTCTGGGTTGAGAGGGAAGATGCAAATTTTAGCATCTAACAAGCTGAATTTCAGGAGGCAGTGAGAAAAGCTAATGAAAATGTCTGGCAAACAGTTGGCAGTGGGAGGATGATCAGGGTTAGGGAGGCAGGAGAGGGATCAAAGATGGATGATGGGTTCCCAGAGAGAACAAGGACAATGATAAAAGCATAAAATCTCCTGGTGGTTGGCAGTACCTGTAATCCGTAGTCAATGTCCTTGGTGTCGAAGGAATAGTTGACCAGGGACGCTTCTCCCCTCAGTATTATCTCGTAGGTGGGCCCTCCTTCCACTTCGCACAGAGCTTTAGCCTGCGCGACAACGTCACAGTGTCCGTAGAAGGTGAAAGATATCTGGTGGCTGCTGTGTGGCTGCAGCACTCCATAGAGGGGCAAAATGTCAAACACCTGCAGAGAAAGTCATTCTACATGAGAGCATCTATCAGGATGAAGGGCCTGCAAAAGGTAAGTTAAAGTTCAGTCAATTTACAGATTAATTCCTCACTTTAACTTGTCTGAGTCCATGAAAGGTGACTAGCCCAGCACCCTGAAAATATATGATGGTCATGGCAGTAACAGCGCTCTGGCAAGATTTAAATTTCTAACTTGGGGCACGTGAAAGAAGAGTTAGTATCGATGACTTTAGGGTCCATAGGGTGTTACTTACTTCTTCTATCCCAATAGAAAGCATTTCCTCCTGTTCAAATATCCACAGGGATTCCTGAAACTCCACCTGGCTCTGGTTTGTTTTTTCTGTTTCAGCAGAGTTCACTTTTAATTCCTAGAAATTAGAGGTGCGAGGAAAGCTAGCAAGTGCTCATACTGGGTCATTGATGTGTTCCTCCCCATCGCATACAGAAAAATGAAGTGTGTTGCATATATTTTAAAATTATTGGCACACCTCATTTTATTACAGTCTACTTCATTGCGCTTTGCAGATACTGCTTGTTTGTTACAAATTGATGGGAAGACCCTCTACCACCCAAAAGATTATGACTTGCTGAAGTCTCAGATGATGGTTAACACTTTTTAACAATAAAGCATTTTTAAATTAAGGTATGTACATTGACTTTTTAAAGACATAATGCTGTTTTATACTTAATAGACATATAGTGTAAACATAACTTTTATATGCACTGGGAAACTGAAAAATCTCTCTATTGCGACAGTTGCTTTATTGTGGTGGTCTGGAACCGAGCCTCAATATCTCCGAGGTATGTCTGTAGTACCTATTCCTATAGAGATAATTGGACAAGCGCCGAAAATGGCTGTACGAGGATGTTCACTGCAGCGTTATTTATAATAGTAAAACTCTGGAAACAAGCTAAATGTCTATCTATCAATAGGGGATCATTTTAAAGTGTGTCTGACATTCTGTGCATGGGGGATGATGCGATGCATATTTATAAACCAGAAATTATGTGCAAAACATATTATTGAGCGATAAAGTAGTTCCATTTATGTAAAATTACATATGTCTATGTATCACACCTAAAAATGTGAGCGTGTGTAAATTCATTCAGAGATTTGCATATGCAAATAGATATATCTGGAAGGTTACTAAAATTTCAATAGTAGGTTTCTATGAATGGTGGGATTTTGAGAATTTTTGCTTTCATTTTTCTGTACTCTTGAGTTTTCTATGACACCTCTTTTGAAAATAGAAAAAAAGAATTAACATTTAAAAGATAAGTGTTTTATACACACACACATACTCATTCTAAAAAATGTGGAAAATACAGAAAGGTTAGAAAAGAGAAATACAAATCAACCATGAGATTATATTGTAGATATATGTATATATGTGTGTATATATGTATATTTATTTGTATTCTGATTTTTCAGTTGACACTGTAACATGAGTGTTGCTTCCCCGTGGGACTAAACATTCTTCACAAACATACTTAATATAGGAGATTGCTCCCAAAAAGTATGTAAAGAACCTTGTCATTTTCCGCAAAAGAGTTTCATAGTATTGCTTTGTGCAGATGTAATTTAGCTTATCCAATCAGTCTCCTATTGGTAGAGTTGTTTCCCATTTTTCTTGCTTTTACTAACAAAGCTGCAGTATACAAGAATAGTTACATGTCTTTCTGTAAATGTAAAGGTGAAGAATAATATCCTAGCAGAGGACTGTTCATTTTAAATTTTGATACACTTGACAAACTGTATGTCATAGGGGCTATGGCCATTCATACGCCTACCTACAAAGTGTGATAATGCTTGTTTATTCCCACTATACCACTACTGAGACAAACCCTGTTTTAAAAGATTATATATCAGTATGTACATACAATAATTAAAAAACTTGTTTTTGCTGTTTCTAAAGTATTATAACAAACATCTTTGTACACAAATCTTTCGATATCCCATGATTTACTTAGGCCATCACTCTAGGAGAATTTAAGGGTATGAATTTGTAAACTCTCTTGATTTCCTCTTTGTTTTTACTATGAAATTACTGAGGAAAATATTTCTCCTTTTGTAGTTCCTATCCAGGGGTTGAGAAGAACACGAGATCACCAAGGTTTAGAGGTAAGTGGCTTTTCCATTTCAGAGAAAATCCACCTGTCGAGGTGTCTGGGCGCGTGACCCTGCCTCCTACCATGGTTGCTTACTGAGGCTCTGTGGGTGTTTGGTTGGGAAGTGACCCGGATAAAGTTTCACAGCTTCGTCACAGCCAAACCCCAGTGTTGCACTTGCTACTCTGCTTCTGGCTCTGCCTCTGTTTTATGGAAAGGACCATGGACTTGCCAACCCGCCCTAGGGAAAGGAAACCGTACATCTGTGATGACAATGACGGGCACTTCTGTTTTTTGCGGTTCTCTCTCTTCGGACTCCAACTCTTCATCCACAAGGATAGTCCTGGGGAGTTTAATGAAATGTGGAGAATCACTCACTTGGCAGCCATCACAACACAGTCTTCATCATAACAGCCCTGTCTTCCTCCCCTTGCCCCACTGCACCCCACAGAGCAAGTGTGGCTCTCAATCAAGAGACGCCTTTCTCGGGCATCAAAGTGGTCAATTTTCTATAGGCCCCAACTCTTCTTTTGTGGCCTATCAAGCCCATGGCCGACTGAACAAGTTCTAGGAAGCTCTAGTGATTCTTCAGACAATTTGATGTGCCCCCCGTGCTCAATGTTAAGCTTCATCATTTATTGTGACATTTATTGTGAGGATATAATGTTTGACCAATTGTCGTATCTTTTTCTGCCTGCTACCCTTGACCTGATCCTGGCTGTAGACCTTGGGCAGATGGAGACACAACATAATTGGAAGGGCTCAGCCCCCCAGGATTCTGAAGCCTATGACCTCCTGAGAACAAAGATGACTTTCAATTCTGTATCCCAGATGCCTAGTCTAGGGCCGAACACAGAAGGCGTTCGTTAAACTGTTGACTGGTGAGCGGCTGGATGAATGAGGGATGAGTTTGCAAATGTAAATCAGTGCAGAGAGAAGGATCTATTTAAAAAAATTCATTCTGGCTTTGCATTTGCACTTACTTAACAAAATCATTTAGATTGACCTCAGAGGACTCTGTTGCTGGGACTGGTGGCGAGCTGGCGGATGCTGAGGTTCCTGGGACAGACTCCATCTGGGACAGGAGGGCACTGTGGGGCTCCCTTGGCCACGTCACAAATCTACGAAGGCATGGGAAGACACAGTCACATCAGCTGTTGCAAGTCAGTGCCTGGGTGGGCTCTTGGTCTCTAAGGCCAAGTTCCAAATTTTAGAACAAGCAGGTCCAGAAGGGAACACCTTCCCTTGTTTCAATCTTAGCTGAGTTTTCACTTTCTCCTAAAAATTTGCTGACCACCCTGCCCAGTCTGGGCCCAGTATCTCTCCTATGAGCACTCACAGCCCCTGGGCTTCCCCTCTCACACTTATTTCTCCCGTCCCTGCTAGACTGTGAGCTCGCCGAGGACACTGTATCTCCTATGGCATCTAATACAGTGCCTGGAATGGAGCAAGCACTCACGCACGGCTATGAATGAACAGATGCCGGGGATCCTGCTCCCAGATAACCAGAAAGCAGGGCCAGGACTAGGATGAGGCACTCGCTCTCTGGTTCTGCACACATGTGAGCCTCTACGTGACCCTGCCTCCCACCATGGTCGTGCTCGGTGCTGCGACTGCTTCACCCTGGTCCTGGCCCTGCCAGTTTGCTCTGCTGCCAGTCAAGTTCTCTGAGGAGAGGACAGAGGGGGAATCAGTGACTGTACCAGCTGGTGCTAAAGCCCATATATCCTGGTTTCGATGACTGGAAAGGCCTTTAAATGTCACAAAGGCCAAAGTGGTGGGGTCTCCCCTATTCTTCCTGTTTCCCTCAGGGTGCATGTAGCTTTTAAAGGACCCCTCCCCTCCCCTATCTCTGGCCCGTGATATTCATTTCAACCCAATTTCACTTATATATTCATTCTGGCCCCATATGCACTTTACTTTTTCTCAGAGGCTCCACAGAAATGTTACTTATTATATAAAGAACCCAACACTGTCCCATTTTGCCACTGAAAAAAATTTTTCCTCCCTCTTAAGTTTCACAGCATTTTGTCTGCATTTCTCTTAGGATACTGTCTACTCTCTATCATGTAGCTGAGTACCATTTACTAAATTTTGGGCATTCTTCTATCAACTTCATGATTTCTGCTATATTAAGTATCACCTAATAAATCGTTTTTTTATTGAGGCATAATTTATATACACAATGCACTCATTTTAAGCATATAGTTTGATGAGTTTTTACAAATACATATACCTGTGTAACCACTACCATATTACATACACAGAATATTCCCATCACCCTAAAGAGTTCCCTTCTGTACCTACCCAGTCCATCCCCCAACCCCTACCCCAAACAAATAAATCTGCTTTATATCATTATAGATTAGATATGCTTAAAGTTTCATATAAATGAAATTATAAATATGTATTCTTTCGTGTCTGACTTCTTTCACTCAGCAGATTGTTTTTAGATTCATCTATGTTACTGTGAGCAGTACTCTGTTCTTTATCCCTGAGCCGTATTCCATAGTATGGATGACTAGTGTGTTTGTCCATCTTCTTGTTGATGGACACCACGGCTGTTTCCAGCCGAATAAAGTTGCTATAAACCACACTGTTCTGGGCACAGGACCCATGTTGGGCTGGGTGATGGGAAGCTCATTAAAATAAAGATTACTGAACCTCATCCTTGGGTAAATTCTGATTGAGCAGGTCTCAGGTAGGGCCCAGGATTTAGATGTTTAACAGTCTTCACAGGTGATTCTAATATCCAGCCAGATTTGGGACCTGCCATGGGTAGGAATGGCAACATGACAGCTAAGGACTGAAGCTGATAATTAATATGGGGCTATCACTCAGCCTTGCCAGCTAGGGACAGTGAAAATCAGCAGAGTGTGATTCGGAGCACTTATTAAATCACCCCAGGTCAGTGGAAACGCCTGGGGAGACTCTGCCGGATCACTGCCCCACATAATAGCACTTTCTCATTCGACATTTGCACCCCTCCGGGATGTTGTGCTGAATGGAAAAAAAAAAAAAAAGCTTATGGGAATATCTGTAAAGGAAAAATACAGAGCTGTAGAATGCCTGCAGACCTGAGGAAAAACAGCACCTCAGTTGACAACGATGACTGGGCAATTGGGAAGGGAGAGGTCTCTTTGGAAACAAAGACACCAGTAAAGTAGCCCTACTGCCGACAGACAGAGCCACGGGAGACAGTGAAACTTTTATCATAATGAAGCCTTCCACTTAACATTAAGATCAAAAACTGTTCCAAAAAGCTGAAATAGAATGTTGGTAGAATTTTTGGATCAGATTTCATTTTACCCTTAGGAACAGATGATTACTTTCCTGTTATGCTGACCCAAACAGGATTAGATTCAGTTATTTTTAAAGGAGAGAGCATAGCAAACAAGAAAAAAAAATGAGTCAATATTGCTCCAATTCCAGAGCTGCCCACATCAGACTCACTGGTGGAGCCAGGAAAGGAACCCTCCCTTTAGCTGTGACAGAACCACCTGAGTGTCAGACACACTGTCAACCAGCCACTCCGGTTTGGGCTCAGCACTTGCCTTCTTCATATTTTATTTTCTATTTTTGGGTGAGTTAGGATCAATACCATCTTTAGTGCTGCAAACTGAAAAAAAGTCCACCGCTCTTACATCCCATTCCCCCTTTGCTGGAAGCAATGCTGCATCAAAAGAAAACCTTGAAGAACACGTTTGCATTTTAGTTAATTTTTCGTGTTGTAGTTCAGATGATATTTGTGTGTTGGACATCTGCTCAAGCCTCTGCAGTGCAGCCAAGGTCTCATAAACGGGGAAGAAGCCTTGGACTTGACATGATGACTTCAAATTCATTGGTTCATTTGGACCTGCGTTCTGGGTGTGTCCACTACAGGGGGTGAAAACAGCCATGGGCTGGATAAAAGATCCTACGGGTATGTTTTGTTTGGCTCATATGCTGTTATACACACACACACACACACACACATATATATGTATACGTGTGTGTGTGTGTATTTCTTGCAGTTACGACTATAGCAGATACTGGTGTTAAGCTCTCTAGGTCCCCTTCTCTAGAATGGTGCACCCATCCCCTGGGTGCTGTGGGTGTTGGCCGCACCTTTCTCTGGAGCATTGCCCTGGCTAGAGCTGCCTGCAGGTTATGTCCTTCCAACCATTAGAGTGTGAGCCATAGGCAAGGATTGCTTGATGAGAGTGAGGGCCATAAGGGCCCAGCCTCCTTGTCTCTGCGTGGGACAAGCTCTGATGCAATCACACTCCAGAGCTCCCCGTGGGCTCAGGCAGAGGTGAGACTTCTTCTGAAATCGCATCTTCCCATGGTTTTCCCCTCCACTCCATACTGTTTCTTACTCTAATAGTTTCTCCTGAGAGCCTCCCTCAATAAATCCCCTGCCCAAGAATCACCACCTAGGTTATGTTTCTAGGAAATCCACTGTGGCACTGTATGATTCCAAATAAGAGAGAGCCAATTCTTGCTTCGAGGGACTCAGAGGCCAGGGGATCAGAGTCAGAGAGCGAGGAGCAGGTATAAGTCAAGGTACAAATGCTCCAGGAGCAAGATGTGCAGCGTGCACAGTGGCTCAGAACAAGGCTGTGGGGTCAGATGGCCTGGGTTTGAATTTGACTTCCCGGCTTACACACCATGTGACCTGGTGTTAGTGACAGAACCTTGCTCATCTGATTGTTGTGAGGTTTAGTTCACCTAAAGAACTCAGCAAGGTGCCTGGGTCATAGTAAATGTCCAATGCACATGGTCTATTCTTGTGCTGGGGTTGGTGGGAATGATCATTTCTGGCATTCAGATGAGAGAAGAGTCTATTGGAGTTTAGAAGAGGGAGAGACCAACTTTCTGTGGATGCGTGGGGAAGTCTTCACAAAGGAGGAGATAGTCTACCTATATCTGGAAGGAAGAGTGGCATATTTTAGGTGAAGAGTGGAAAGGATGCATACTCTGAGGGAAAAGTATCTATAAAGGAAAAAAGATTGAGAGAACCTGGATTTTTCAGGGACAAGTGAGAAGTCTGTCTTAGAGTGTGTGTACATGCCAAATGGAAGGAAATGGTGATGATAAGGACAGTGATGAGGACAATGATGATGATGATGATGAAGACTGCAGAAGCAATGACTTGAGAGTTGGTGATGGCCAGCAGTGGAGGCAGCCATGACAGGAAGTGGGGACAGCAGTCACGGGACGGGAGGAGTGCTGACCCTCCTCCTGCCACTTTGTTTTCACTGTTCTCACACACCTCTTCCTCCTGGCACTGGGCAGAAGAGGCTCCGAAGCATGAACAGCAAATGTAGGGGGGACACAGGTGACTGACGGCTCTGATTGTGGCAGCCCCCACTGTCTCCTCCACTATTCTCTTATTCCCATCCCTTCTGTCTAGCCAGCTACTCAGCCTTGCTCACGACGGGCCGGGGAGGGGTAGCGGGAAGAGAACCTCAGGACGGGACCCTCAGCCCAGGGCGTGGTCCTGCCATTCCACCTCTTCACGAGCACTGGAACTTCCCACTGCATCTCCATTTCACCTCGGCGAAGGCTGCCATTACCTTTTGTCTGGATTTCTAACACTGTTTTCTATGTGAGCTTCCTGACTTTTGTTTTTGTATAAATGATATAAAATAGAAAACAGCCCATTGGGCTATGTTTTCCATCACTGTTTACAATATGGCTCAGAGTTCTGGTCATTCTAGGGTTGTCCCCTTCTAATCCATGTTCCCTTCTGCAGCCCAAGTGAACTTTCTGATCATTTCACTTCCTCATTTTAAACCTTTATGAAGACCCTCCATTTTCCAGAGGAAAAAGCCGACTCCTTAGTGTGGTTTCAGAGATCCTTCATAATTAAGCTCCTCCCTCAGCCCTGCCATTTTGATAGCAAAATGAGAAATGACCCACTGGTATCCTTTCTACGCTCCTAGGTTCTGAGGTCCAGTTTGAGTTTTCAACAATCCAAGGGTATGAATATGTGCTATTCAGCATAATTAATTTCATTGTTGAGATGTTTTCCCCTACAACTGTACCTAACATCGCCACTGCTTTTGACTTATAATCTGTGGGCCACTTTGAGCAAACCCCTCATCTTTATTCATTAGAGCTTATCAGGTGTTTTTTA